GCTGGGAGAGGGGCAAGGCCTAGCAGGCCTGTGGCGTCGCTTAGCAACGCGGGGGAAAGAGGGAGGGGGGAGGAGGAGGCGGCTTTAAAGCCCAACGCGTGACGCGCGGCTTGGCTCCCGCCGGCTTCCGTCCCAGATGAGGCGCCCTCTCCAGCGGGTCCTGATAGTGGGGAGCCGCGTCAGCTGCTACTGCCGTGGAGTCGACGCTCTTGCGCTGGGCGTGAGCGGAAGCCTGTCAGGGCCGCGGAGAAGGCAGGCAGACATGGAGGAAGCGGCCTGCTGCCCGCTCGGCGCCTACTAGGAGTCGCCAGGCCTCGGCTGCGGCCTCCGCGGGAGCCATGGACAAAGCCATTGGGGGACAGGTAGGGAGGGGCCCGGAGGGGAGGCGTTGCTAGGCAACGGGGAGAAGGAGAGGCCTACTTTGGAAGGGAGAAGAGGGGCGGATGGAGGGCTGGTGGGCCCAAGCCACACCATTGCTTTCCTCCCAGGCCTTGGAGAAGGAGCCTTGAGCCACTGTGGGGAGGAATGAGGGAGAAGAAAGATAGTTGGGGTTTTTAAATTTTATTTTCTTTATTTAAATACTAGCCATCCCTTGCCACACGTTGCTGTGGCCCAGTCTGTGTATATGTGTTTTGTATGCGTGTATATGTGTGTGTATATATTTGTGTATATGTTGTCTTATTTATTTATTTATTTATTACTTCGCTTATATACCGCAATTCTCAGCCTAATGGCGACTCATTGCGGTGTACAACATGGAAAAACAGGTGCAAAAATACAACATACAAAAATAATACACAGTACATCATTATCAAAACATCATTATCAAAACATCTCATCAAAAACATCAATGTAACTCCAAGCCATTCCGAGTCGTCTCATCGTCAAGATCACAATCCAATATCATTTCCGTTGTTCCATTCCTATGGTCGAATTACCCGTCATTGCACTACTATTCAAAAGCCTTCTCAAACAACATATACACAAGTATATAAACACATATATACCCAAACAAAACACAGGCACTGTATTTTTTTTAATGTTTTAACTTTTATTTATTTATTTATTTTATTTACCTTACTTATATACCGCTGTTCTCAGCCCGAAGGCGACTCACAGCGGTTCACAACAAATACGAACAGCAAAAATTCAGTGCTACAGTATAAAAACAGTTAACAACCTAACACATTACACAATTAATAAACAGTTACTACAATACCCATTCACTGTCGTCTCGTCATCAAAAACATGTTCCAGATTCGTCATCCATTGTTCCATTCCAGTGTTCATTAACCAATCATTGCACTAATTATTCGAACGCCTGCTCAAACAGCCAGGTCTTCACTTTTTTGCGGAACACCATTAGAGATGGTGCTAGTCTAATGTCCGTAGGAAGGGCGTTCCACAGCCGAGGAGCCACCACCGAGAAGGCCCTATCTCTCGTCCCCGCCAGCCGAGCTTGAGAAGCAGGCGGGATCGAGAGCAGGGTCTCCCCGGAAGATCTCAAAGTCCTGGTGGTTTCATAGGCAGAGATGCGGTCGGATAGGTAGCTTGGGCTGGAACCGTTTAGGGCTTTAAAGGCCAACGCCAACACTTTGAATTCAGCCCGGTAGCAGATGTTTTCCAGTGTTGTTATTGTTTGTATTGTTGTATTCGGGCTCGGCCTCATGAAAGCCGCACCGAGTCCCTTGGGGAGATGGTAGCGGGGTAGAAATAAAGTGTTGTTGTTGTTATTATTATTATTATTATTATTATTATTTTATGGGCGATGGCCACTTGTTGGCCTAGTAGGTGTATTGTGTCCAAATTTGGTGTCAATTCCCCCAGTGGTTTTTGAGTTATATTAATCCCACAAACGAGCATTACATTTTTATTTATATATAGATAGACTAACTATCCCCTACCACACATTGCTGTGGCCCAGTCTGTGTATATGTGTTTTGTATTTGTGTATATGTTGTTTTACGCATGCATTGTAATTTTTTTAATATTTTGACTTTTAAAGTCTCTTCTGCTATGTTTTCCAGTGTTTTTATGGGCGATGGTCACTCATTGGCCTGATAGGAGTATTGTGTCCAAATTTGGTGTCAATTCTTCCAGTGATTTTTGAGTTATGTTAATCCCACAAACTAACATTACAACATTACATTGTATTGTTGAAGGCTTTCATGTCCGGAATCACTGGGTTGTAGTAGGTTTTTTCAGGCTATATGGCCATGGTCTAGAGGCATTCTCTCCTGACGTTTCACCCGCATCTATGGCAAGCATCCTCAGAGGTAGTGAGGTATCCTCACTACCTCTGAGGATGCTTGCCATAGATCAGGGATCCTCAAACTAAGGCCCGGGGGCCGGATGCGACCCTCCAAGGTCATTTACCCGGCCCTCGCTCAGGGTCAACCTAAGTCTGAAACTACTTGAAAGCACACAACAACAACAACAACAATCCTACCTCATCAGACAAAAGTAGGCCACACTTTCCATTGAAATACTAATAAGTTTATATTTGTTAAACATTGTTCTTAATTTTAATTATTATATTGTTTTAAAAATTTTTGCACTACAAATAAGATACGGACAGTGTGCATAGAAATTCATTCATGATTTTTTTCGAATTATAATCCGGCCCTCCAACAGTTTGAGGGACTGTGACCTGGCCCTCTGTTTTAAAAGGTATCCTCACTACCTCTGAGGATGCTTGCCATAGATGCAGGTGAAACATCAGGAGAGAATGCCTCTAGACCATGGCCATATAGCCCGAAAAAACCTACAACAACCGAACATTACATTTTTATTTATATACTAGCTGTCCCCTGCCACACGTTGCTGTGGCCCACATGGGGGTTCTGTGTGGGAGTTTTGGCCCAACTCTATCGTTGGTTGGGTTCAGAATGCTCTATGATTGTAGGTGAACAACAAATTCCAGCAACTACAACTCCCAAATGTCAAGATTCTATTTTCCCCAAACTCCACCAGTGTTCACATTTGGGCATATTGAGTATTCGTGTAGAGTTTGGCCCAGATCCATCATTGTTTGAGTCCACAGTGCTCTCTGGATGTAGATGAACTACAGCTCCAAAACCAAAGGACACTGCCCACCAAACCCTTTCCAGTATTTTCTGTTGGTCATGGGAGAACTGTGTGCCAAGTTTGGTTCAATTCCATCGTTGGTGGGGTTCAGAATGATCTTTGATTGTAGGTGAACTAGCAACTATAACTCAGAAATGACAAAATCTTTTTTTTGAGTGAAGGACATACATTGGGTTGTTAGGTGTCTTATGTCCAAATTTGGTGTCAATTCCCCCAGTGGTTTTTGAGTTAAATTAATCCCACAAACAAGCATTACATTTTTATTTATAGATAGATAGACTAGCTATCCCCTACCACACGTTGCTGTGGCCCAGTCTGTGTATATGTGTTTTGTATGTGTATATTTGTGTATATGTGGTTTTACACATGCATTGTAATTTTTAAAAATATGTTTACTTTTAAAGTCTCTTCTGCTATGTTTTCCAGTGTTTTTATGGGTGYTGGTCACTCATTAGCCTGATAGGTGTATTTTGTCCAAATTTGGTGTCAATTCGCCCAGTGGTTTTTGAGTTATGTTAATCCCACAAACAAACATTACATTTTTATTTATATAGATGTTGTTGAAAGCTTTCATGGCAGGAATCATTGGTTGCTGTCAGTTTTCCAGACTGAATAATAATAATAATAATAATAATAATAATAATAATAGGATTGAAGAGAAACAACTGGAAAAGCTGATACYATATGAGGATTTAAAGATCAAACTTCAAAGACTCTGGCACAAGCCAGTCAAGGTGGTCCCAGTGGTGATCGGCACACTAGGTGGAGTGCCTAAAAACCTTGGCCTGCATTTAAACACAATCAGCGCAGGCAAGATTGCCATCTGCAAAAGGCCACCCTCCTGGGATCTGCACGCATTATTCGCCAATACATGACACAGTCCTAGARACTTGGGAAGCGTCCGACGTGTGATCCAATACAACAGCCAGCAGAGTGATCTTGTTTGCTGTGGACTCATCTTGTTGTGTTTCTAATAATAATAATAACAACAACTTTATTTATACCCTGCTACCATCTCCCCAGCAGGGACTCGGGGTGGCTAACGTGATGCCAAGCCCAACAATTACAACAAATCAAAATAAAATACATACAGCAAATAATATCAAATAAAATACAGAGAAAACAAATTAAAATAATAATTAAAAACTTTATACCCCGCCACCATCTCCCCAGCAGGTACTTGGGGTGGCTAACGTCAGGCCAAGCCCAACAATTACAAAAAATCAAAATAAAATACATACACCAAATAATATCAAATGAAATATAGAGAAAACAAATTACCGTTTGCCACTGGTCTGTAGTTGGAATAATAATAACAATAATTCTATTATTTTAGAAGTATAGTCTACCCTGCAATAAAACCTGATATGAGCACAAGGAAACACCTGCTGAATGTGACATCATTCACACAAGCAGGCTTGTTTTACCTCCTCCATCTCCATCAGAGACTGTTCCCATTTGCAAAGGCCAGGGGACTTAATCTACTAGTAAAGCTATGGGGGCATCTATACTGTAGAATGCATACAGTTTGACCCCACTTTAAGTGCCCTTGTAAAACCATAGAATCCTGTGAGTTGTAATTTGTCAAAGTCTGCTCCAACAACAATAATGTCCTACACAGAGAAGGAAAATTGAAACATAGTAGACACAGGGTGGGACTTTAAAATTCATAGTTAAAAACCCATTTACATTTACAATGACTTACATTCTGTTGCTACTATGTGTCAGTTATGTGTTTGTATTTGATGCAAGATTTTAAAATAGATTTTTGTGTTTTTATGTAACTTATAGTATATATTTTGTATGTTTGTATGTTTCTGACTTTGTTGTACTCTGACTTAAGCCATCCAGAGAGGCGAGTAGTAAATCAAATGTGTTGTTGTTAATAATAATAATAATAATAATAATAATAATACTCTCACCATAAAGGATGCCAGGTGGAAAGCAGAGTTGTAGGAGGAACTATTTAAATTTTATTTATTTCTTATTATTTGTTCTTTTATCCAGCCTTTCTAACAGTGACATGACACAACACAAAACAAGTCAAAAACAGATTTTTGAATATCCATTTTTTAAAAAATGTGTAATGAGTGTTAAAGTCAAAATACAATATATTACTAATTGACTTTATTTTAAGCCTGCCTTGCTAACAGTAACATTACACAATATGATACAAACTAAGAAACAAAGTGAATGCAAATACCTATGTGTGTAATATGCAATTAAAATTTTGTGTCATAAGTGTGTAAAATTTAAAATAAATACAATAAAAGATACAGTTGAAAGCTAAACAACCTCCCAAAACCCCATTCCCAGCATCACCAGCAGCCTGCCCCTCCTTATTCACTAAATACCTAATTGCAGAGGTATGTTTTCACCTGCCTGCGAAAGGCAAACAGGGTTTTTTTAATTATTATTTTATTCATACTTGAATAAGCTGTTAATTCTACAATGCAAATGAATCCAAACTGCAACTTTTCTCCTTACTGCATTAAAAACAACAACTACTCCCAGATCAAACAGTTGAAGAGAAATCAAGAAACTAAAGCATAGCTTCAAGGACTATAAAGCCCATCAGACTGAATCAGCAAACTATAATACACAACAGGGTCAGCAAGTTTCTTTTCACAATTCACCATTTTTGGTATGACTCCTAAGTAGGCCCTACTTTGGACTTGTTGATTAAGAAATATGTTCAGGAATGCAGCTGAAATTTTATTATTTTATTCATACTTGAGTTGTGTTAATAGTGTAATTCCTTTAATTCTATTTTAATGTTTACTTTTTGCATGTGTTCATGTCATTCTTCTGAAATTGTGAGTCCCAAATCACAATTTAATCTTTTAATTGGGGGGACAAGCAGGATGTGAATAAATATAACAAGGACAGAACCCTGTATTCAACACCTGATGAAGTGTAGCAGAGGAAGTTCAAGCTGAAGGGAATTAGGTGAGTTACCAGAACAGAATGGGATTTAAAAGGGATTTGCATCAGCTCTGGATGAAGTAGTAGTTATGTGGAGTGCATGTTTGTTTTTGTAGTTATACAACAGTTTTAGCATATACAGTACAGAGTGTTTGAGAGTTTCATCTGCAAAGAGATTGTTTGTTCCCTGATCCAAGAAACTGGCAATGTAAATTCTTAAAAACACGAAGTTTAGTAAGAGAGAAGTGGTAAAGGGTGGATGTGAGCAAATGGCCTTCGGGTATTTTCAGGCACAAGTACATAGCTATGGGTGAGAGGTGAAGATTATGTTGTCTGTTGTGAAGCTGCATACGAGAAGAAAGTCAAGTCAGATTGTTTATTAACTGCAACAGCATGCCTAAAGCCTATTTCCTGTATTCCTAACACTTTCTGTGTATGGCAGTCCAGTGATGTTATTTCCTTATTGTGGATAATTGTAATGGGGGTGGGGCTGCCTCAGGCCATCTCTTGAGTGAGTTTGTTTTTCCACTGAGCCCTATAGTCCCTCCAGTCTGAAGAGAGGGAAAGGATCTGGACAAATATATCATCCTCTCTGGCTTGGTTTACAAAGAACTATGGCAGAAGGGTTTGATTAAATACTCTGACAAAAAAGTGGGGGGGGGGTGTGCTGGAAAAGCACAATGCAGAAGTGGGGACATCGATAGGGATTTTGTACATTGAGGTCAAACTGCTTACATTTTCATGCGATATCCTGTAAAAATGTGGTTTTTACATTTAAAGAACAGAAGTAGTAGGAGAGAACGTAGTAATATGTCTTTTTGTTATGTGCCAAATTTTATCTCCAACTACGGTATGTTCCTTTTTAGGTTTGTGTTTGTAGGTAATCATACATCTGGAATAAGGAGCAATAGCTGATGGAGGGGGTTAAGCACCCTCCTTCTTCTCACATCCATCCACACGATGGGGCTTCTTTATACACTTCTTTATAAGTGGAAATTACTCCCCAGATTGTTTCTTATTAATAGATTTATTCCATGGCTCCTTAGTTCTTAGGCAAGCCTGCTTAGAAAAACAAGAAAGGAGGTGCTTTTTAATTCACTTTCCTCTTGAGGGTTCCCTATAAATAAAGAAATAATAAAATATTATGAATAATATATTTATATGAATAGCTATCTCCATTTCAAACAGTGGGTAGCAAATGCATTGTACTTAGTGCAGCTATAACATATACCCTGCCATTTGTATCACAAGGCACTGGGGAGCTGTGTTTTCCCCCTCTCAGGGTGCTTGTGTTCTGTTTTGTGCTGGTCAGTGACTGTAATAAAGTTTTGTTGTTGTTGTGTCGCAAGAAGTTGCTGTGTAGGTAAGTGGGAATGACCTCTGCAGTCACTCAGAGTAATATATGAGAAGGACAAGTGTTGCGAAGAGGCACCAAGTGTAGGTCTTTTGCCAGAATCTGTGTAGAACCCAAACCCAGCCCAGGTCTTGGCCATAATATTTAGAAGACACTTTTACTTAAGAGATACTACCAGTAGAAAGTGTCACCTCAGAGTTTCCTGGTGATAACCTGGAGAAGAAATCTGTATTTTGAAGAGGAAACTGCTCTGTAGATTTTCTAAAAATTACGTATTTGACCCTCCCTACTTATACCCATCTATTTTCTAGGTCCAGTTTCTGGGCTGCAATTTATAAACATAATTCATATTAAGGTTTGGCAGTTAAGCTGTTTGCAAAATATAGTTCCAAATAACTATGCATGGAATTGTGACCCAAGCCTGGGAGGTACAACACAAGAGGAGGGATTTTGTAGACAGTTGTGCATTATTAACATTTTATGCAACTGATTTGAACTGTTCAAGTTAAAATAGACATTTTATATAACATAATTGAATGTGCTATTTTGGAACCTAACAAAATGATCTGAAATCTAGGATCATTCTCTTAGGATAAAATCTAGCCATGTGTGAGCAGTGGAACCTTCCTTTCCTCTTCCCTTCCACTGTTAACCCTGTGTTTCTTTAAAGTTAATCTGAAGCATTACTTAAACCTCACTTAAATCTTGAGGACATGAAAGGGGAACAATCTCTTTCCCTATTTTGCTGGCAGCAAAAGGAACTAATTAGATACAACCCCAGGGTTTCACCTTAGTTTATATAAGAGTAAAATCCATGATACACTACCATGTGTATGCTGTTTACTGAGAAATCTAGAAGTGTAGATCTGAATCAGGGATAAGCAGTTTTGGTCCTCCAGGTGATTTGGACCAAAGTCAGAAAGCCATCGATAATAGTGAACCTTCTTGAAATGAACAACTTGTGCTAGATATTCCCATAGCGTTACCCTAGAGGACTTGACAAGTTTCTTATAAAGGGCATATTTTGTCAGATGTGTGTAGGAGAAACTGCAGGTATGGGGAGATGGTACTATATAAAAACAAGTCATAGCACTCATGCAGTCTCGACAGAAGGAAAAAACCCTTATTAAAAAGACAACCTGCGATGGTAGCAGAATATACTTTAAGTGGTTGAAGAATATGACAGGAAAGTGAACTGTTTGAAGGTTTTTGAATGGGTTTTCTTCAAAAGTAAGCCTGTTTTCTGAAACACCATGTTAATTCCATTGTAGTCACAGTGCAATTGATTGCTAATGGATTGGGGGAGAAATCTGTGGGTGAACACATTGCAAGAAATGTTTTAGCGTGTGTTGTCATAATTTTAAACCATTCATTAACTGGGTATGTTGGTCTAAAGTCTAATCACCATAGCTCCTTATCTTTTCCCGAGAGCCTAAGCACTTTGAATGCTATTCTGATGAAGTCAACCAATTGTAAACTAAGGTGATAAAAATAACAAAAGAGGTAAAATATTTTCTTAATGTAGTTTATATATGCATTACAAATTATTGTGGGGTTCAATGAAGTACAATATTTTAATTAGTAGATATCTACAAGTATCCAAATTATTATTATAAAGGAAAAATAATTTTTTTGATAGAGATTCATTTTGATAGAGATTACCATTAAATCCCATTAGCCATTGGAATTTACTCTAAAGTAAATGTGTGTGAAATTTTGACTACAGTCTAATCCTGTTCATACTTACCAAAATGGAAGTCCTACTATATTCACTGGGATTTGGTTCCAGTTAATCGTCCGTGGACTTGTATACTATGTTAACCTTTATAATCCAGCGTAGTTGCTTATGGACTCTCAGAGAAATAAAGCTGAACTGCTTAATATTTCATGTTAAGGGTTAGGTTTTCTGTAATGTTATATCTCTCCCTCCACCCCACCACCTTCCTTTTTTTTTTTAAAAAAAAAAACAACAGTCATTTAATTCGCAGTGCAGTTTTATTTCAATTGAAATGGAGAGGAGTCAAACTGGCTGCAAATACTCACTAATTCAATTGGATTCTGTCCCCAGCAGCCTGTCAAAATAGGCTGTATGAAATAATTCTGTTCTCTTCCTGTACCATAAATTCCATTGTTAGTGCTTTTTCCATTGCCGTAATTCTCTTTAGTTCCTAAAGTACGTGTGTTTCTTCATTCCACCTACTGCACCCTAGCTCACAAACATCCAAAGCATTTTGGGAATTATTGAGCCAAAGGAATGGTGCTAATCCTGAGTATCCCTTGCCTGAGAAACCCTGTGAAGTTCATGGGGTTGCTATAAGTCAACAGGTGACACAGGGATGCGCACACACACACACACACACACAGCATTGATTTTGATCAGAGTTAGCTTTGTATTTCAACAACATTATCACTTTCATAGTACAAACTTCACAGTAGGATGTAAAACTTTCAGTCCTTTCTTAGTGGCTTATGTTGTTAATTTATTTCCACTATGTTTTTGCTGTTGTTTTCATGGTCAATGTGACTTAGATAGGGAGGCTTCTTAGAAGTTCAGTGTTTTGATAGAAATTACAACATCACAGTGTGGGAGCAGGAGATTAGTAGGGGAATTTTGAGTAGGTGTTCATGTGAACAAACCGTTTTATATTTGATATAGGAACATGCATGCTTTGAAGTCGACAGTGAGAATACTTTGTACTGGAACTCACAGGTTTAGATTCTGATAAAAGCCAGTTAGACGTTGTGTATCAAGAATAGTCTTTCTTTTCGTTGCTAGTATTGCCAGCTGTCAAAAATGTCATATCAATGAGACTGATTATAAAACCATTTGTCTTATTTGTGTCCATTGTATGCTGAATTTTAGATATTATCAAGTAAGCTTATTGCCAGTATAAAATCTATAGGAGTAGAAGCTTTTCAATATCCTGCTTTTCCTTTCTGATCAGAAATCCCCTAGTTTGCATGCCCTGTAGAAACAGCCCTTTTAATTTTCCTAAATGTGAGATTATCAAACATTTTCATTGCCTCACTGTCCAGTCTTAGATTAGAAGAACTCCAGATATTGTTGGATTACAGTTCATATTAGTTTTATCTTTCATGATCATTTTTTGTATCATGTCAGAAGTGACTTGAGAACATACTGCAAGTCACTTCTGGTGTGTGAGAATTGGCTGTCTACAGAGACGTTGACCAAGGGATGCCAGGATGTGTTACCATCCTGCTGGGAGGCTTCTCTCATGTCCCTGCAAGCTAGAACTGATAGACAGGAGCTCACCCCGTCTCGCGGATTTGAACCGGCAACCTTCAGGACAGCAGTCCAGCTGGCACAAGGGTTTAACCTAGGGGTCCTCAAACTTTTTAAACAGAGGACCAGGTCACAGTCCCTCAAACTGTTGGAGGGCCGGATTATAATTTGGAAAAAAAATGAATGAATTCGTCTCTACAATGTTGTTTGTAGAAAGCTAAGAGTTCTGGATTAAGTTATTTGAATTTTTTTTGTATTTTTACTCTATTCTTGCCCTCTAGTTACTATTAATTCATTGTGTTGCTAATTTACTGTTGTGAAACAATGCATTTGAAGAGTGGAATAGATTTTAGGAAATGCCTCATTTTCCAGGAAACACACAAACAACGTTATGCATATGTTTTAATGACATCATACGTTCCAGAAAATGTTCCCCTTTATATATTGATCAAATAGTATTCTTACCCATCACATAATTAGAATTTTAAATAAATTTGCACTGAATGTTCCCACTAATTTATGTTAGCTAGCATTTTCCCCATACCTTAAGACTACATTGCTTCGAGTTTTCTAACTATAGTCACAGCTGTTTGTGTGTTTACAAAGCTACTCTTTAAATAGTCATAGTATGACTACTTGTCTGCTTGCTTCCAGAAGGCTTTCAATTTTAAAAAATGAGAAATATTTTATAAGTTGCCTAGAGAGAAAAAGTCACATTTATAGCGAGCTTCCTTTTTCCACCATTTAGCGATAATCAATCTCAGCTTTATTCTTTATTTGAAACATAATATGTGTGCATTTGCCTTATGTTAATGATACAAGGCGCCTTTGGCAGCAAATAGAGCTCTACTAAAGGACAGCATGGGGTCTGTTTTAATGGGTAATAATGAATGTCCGTTAGAAGTTTTTTTTTTGTATATTGTGATTTTAAAGATTAAACACAGTAGCTAAGTTTACCAGTCTGTTCCTGCTAGTGCCATCTTCTCTCTTTGCAGCTGCTAAGGAATACACTGGCTTTTATATAGAAAACAAAGATGCCTTTATACACAATGGGTTGGAAGAATTGTAATTGTTGGAGAGAAACATATATAATGAGCTTCCGCATACATTTTATAACAGTAAAATGAAAGCTACTTAAATATTATAATCCTGTGATTTCAAAGGAAATACTTCTCATAAACAATATAATATGTACCGTAAGTTGTTATTGTTACCTGTTTTAATGTAGCGCCTTCAGTCATCCATAGCATTTCATAGAAACCCAGCTAAAACAAAAAAAAAATTCCCTGCAATCTAAACACTTTCAGGAGAGGGGACCATAGGCAGACAAAAGAATATTACTTGCAAGCTGCATTGAAAGCAGGTGTTCAACTCAAAAGCAAAGAAATTCAACATAAACACAAGTAAGAATGTTAGAATTTGCACATAATGAAGAATTGTAGTTTACTGTTATGCAAACGAGTCATAGTCAGTCCTGGAATTGTGCTCTCTCCCTCTCCTTATGTGGCTCTGAATTTGGAAGCTACAGTTTTGTTTTAGTTTTTGAAGGCTGTTTACTTCAGATGCAGTGGTTCCCAGATGAAGGGGACTCAGAGCAGCTTACAAGATATCTATCTATCTCTATCTCTCTCTCTCTCTCTCTCTCTATCTCTCTATCTCTCTATCTCTCTCTCTCTATCTCTCTCTCTATCTATCTATCTATCTATCTATCTATCTCTCTATCTCTCTTCTATCTTCTATCTATCTCTAGCTATCTCTCTCTATCATCTCTCTCTCTATCTTCTTTCTAGCTCTCTCTATCATCTCTCTCTCTATCTTCTATCTATCTCTATCATCTCTCTCTCTCTTCTTCTTTCTAGCTCTCTCTCTCTTCTCTCTCTCTATCTATCTATCTATCATCTCTCTCTCTCTTCTCTCTCTCTCTCTCTCTCTCTCTCTCTCTCTTCTATTCTTCTATCTATCTCTCTCTCTATCTTCTCCCCCCCCCCCTTCTCTTCTTCTCTCTATCCTCTCTCTACTATTCTCTCTCATTCTTCTCTTCGTCTCGTCTCTCTACTCTTCATCTCTACTCTACTTCTCTCTCTTGTGCTCTCTCGGTCATCTCTTCTTCTCTCTTCTTCTCTATTCTTCTGGCTATCACTCTTCTCTCTCGCCTACCTTTCGCTAGCTCCTCTCTCTTCTGTTTCCTCTCTTTCTCTTCTTCTCTTTCTCTCTTTCTCCTTCTCTCATCATCTCACTCTTTTTATTCTCTGCTCTCGTTTCTTTCCTCTCTCTCTCAATCTTCTGTCTTCTCTTTTCTTTCTCTTTCGTGTTTTCCTCTCTTACTGTTATGCAAACGAGTCATAGTCAGTCCTGGAATTGTGCTCTCTCCCTCTCCTTATGTGGCTCTGAATTTGGAAGCTACAGTTTTGTTTTAGTTTTTGAAGGCTGTTTACTTCAGATGCAGTGGTTCCCAGATGAAGTTGTTTTGGACTTCAAGTCCCATAAATCCCAGCCAGGTGACCAGCTGTTAGGAATTGTGGGAACTGAAGTCCAAAATTTATTTATTTATTTATTTACTTTGCTTGTATACCGCAGTTTCTCAGCCCGTAGGCGACTCAACGCGGTTCACAACAAGAGCAAAAAGTCAATCCAACAACATACAAAATTTAAAAAACCATTAACAACATAGTATACATGGTAATAACACATCAATACCAACACATTAACAAATCGTGATCCAAATTCGTCATCCATAGTTCCGTTCCTATATCCTATATTCATTGTGTACATTGCACTGTTTATCCGAACGCCTGTTCAAACAGCCAGGTTTTTAGTTTTCTACGAAACACCATTAACGAAGGGGCTGATCTAACGTCCATGGGAAGGGCGTTCCACAGAGGACCACCTGGAGGACCAAAGGGTTGGGGAACCACTGTGAGCAATATTGTGTATAGGCTGCATATGTTGTAATATTTGTGTTGATTTTCATTTTGGACTAAGTCAACCTTACTTTAGTACATTTAGTATCGGCCTAACTTTAGCATCGGACTCTTGATTGTAGTAGTATAACTGTGACACTTACTAAAGACTGCATACATTAGTCCTTTTTATTAAATTTGATTCAGACATCAAGGCATGGATAGACAGAAGTTTCTCTCTCAAACACACAATTAGCATAAAGTGTTGTGCACTAAATCTGAATGGTTGGATATTTGAAAAGAAGTACTACTTCACACAATGTCAGATTCTAAATTTTTAGATGACATTATGCATTGCATATGTTGTAATGACCTAGAATGGTGTCAATTCACCTTTAATAAAACCCTTTAGCCATAGGAACCACCATATATGGCTCAAATGTGTATGTTTGTGTGTGCGTGCCCTTTCCCAGTTGGCTGGGGAACAACATTGTGGAGGCAAACCCCAGAAAATAATGTGTAAACTGTGTATATGTGTGCATGAAATTAGAAGGGAAGATCACAACCATTATTTTCATATTAACAGGTCTTGTGCAATTAGGTTGTGTCATCATCCAGAAAATCATCTTTCCATATAGGGAAGGGTCATACTTTAAAATTATTCTTATAAGATTAGTTATTAAGGCCTAATTAAAATACTCATTTTCTACCATTTGTACTATTATACACATGACTGAACTTTGATCAGTGGCTTAGCTATCATGATTTATTTTTGGATTGTGTCCAAAGAAATCTGTGATTATTTTGTCAAGCTACTCCTTTAAACTCCCTGTTCTCCTTCCAACAGCAGTAAATATTAAAGTGGAAGCGCTTTCCATTACTCTGTTTCCCTGGTAGGAAAAGCTTTGTTTGCAATTGTTTACGTCTTAAAATCACAAGCAAAGAAAAAAACAACAATTCAGTGTTATTAATCCACAAGCAATATATGTGTTGTGTGCCTTAAAGTCATATGGCAAATCTATCAAATGTTTTTCTTGCCACGATTTTGTTCAAAGGGAGTTTCCTTTTGCTTCCTCTGAGGCTGAGAGAGTATGTCTAGCGCAAGATCACCAAGTGGATTTCCATGGCTGAGCAGGGATTAAAACCATATCAAGAGTCTTATCAAAGTATTAATACTGAAAGTACTAATACTCATGCAAGTGCTAAGGACATTATCAAAATTGAAGCAAATGCTGGGTAATGTTAGTAGTTAAATCTTAAGATCATAATCTTGTTGTGCTAAAGGAAATGACTAGCATTTCCTGAATTCTGTCTGAAGCAGTTAATTTTGCTTAGTGCTGCTCAAATGCAAGTCAATAATACTATATTATTTTAGCCACTGTTCTTAGTTGTGTGTATTGTCAAATTTGTATTAATTTTTACTTGTATATGTTATTTAAGTTCTTATGGTCTGTTATTTTGTCTGTTATTAAATTTAGCATTATGTTGCTTTTATATTGTTTAAAATGATTTGTCCTTATGTAATTTGTCTGAATATTTTTCCCTTTTTGGCACTGAATGTTTGCCATATGTGTCGGAAACCACCCTGAGTCCATTTGGGGAGGTAGGGTGGTCTATAAATAAGTTGTTGTTGTTGTTGTTGTTGTTGTTATATATACAACAAGATTTGTACACAGAAAACAAGATCATGTTGTTGTTGTTAAAATCTCCAAAACAGTAATGATACATTTAGGCACTAACAGTTTCTAAAGTGTTTGCTACCATGTTGATAAAGTGTGTTTTTTTTCTCTCCCACTTAAGAATGTGAAGCTGTCTGCTGAAGTAGAACCATTCATTCCTCAGAAGAAGGGTCCAGATTCACTTATGATGCCTATGGCGCTGCCTAATGAAAATGGAGGTGTTAATGGCATGGAAGCAGCTCCTATTCCCAGCTACCTGATTACTTGCTACCCATTTGTTCAGGAAAACCAGTCCAATAGGTAATAATTAAATATATCATATGGGTAAAATGAGGATTCTATCTCTTTATAGGATTAGAATTTTTGATTGGGGGTTGCTTTGATTTTTGAAGTACATAAATCGGATTTTCTGAGGGCCCTAATTTAATAGGAAGCCAACATTAAACTTTGATATAGGGGGCTTTCTTTGTAGTGAATTGTACTGAATCTAGGTATAGGATTGCATGTCAGTTAAACAGAATAGTTATGGAAGGAGCTTCTTTCTAGTTTGTTTTTGCCATTTAATAGTCACTGCCTTCTTTTTTAAAGGAGGGTTAGGGTCCAGATTTTCCTTTGAGTTCATTCTTCAGGTTCTTTATCTGCCAGAGAAATGAATTCAGTTGCTTCTCAGTCACATCCTACCTATATCAATATTCATTATTTGCCTTTCCATCCTGAATATTAATCTAGTGTGCTAGGAACATATTGACAGTCAGAATCTACTCTTATCTGCACTGAAAATAGAGCTGTGACTTAATTTTTAAAACAATATGTTCCAGGTATTGCTTGATCTATAAATTTGTACATGTGTAATTTTTTAGTCCTTTGTTATTATCTCCCTGTATAATCAATCAGGCAGATTTATAGCCTGTATAACAAATCAGATACATATTCACTAATAGCCCAGTGACTGCTTCTGCAGTTAAGAACAACAAACCCATTTGAACTTGAGAATAATTTTTATGGGTGAATGTTTACAAAATAGTTTGCTGATTGCAGATAGACTATTGCAGATGTAACATTTTGACAATCCTACCATTTCCCTTTTTTGTTTTTCAGACAACTTCCACTCTATAATAATGACATCAGATGGCAGCAACCAAATCCAAATCCTACTGGCCCATACCTTGCTTATCCCATTATTTCTGCTCAGCCACCTGTGTCTACTGAGTATACATACTACCAGCTGATGCCAGCACCATGTGCTCAAGTCATGGGTTTCTATCATCCCTTTCCAGCACCCTACTCTGCACCTTTTCAGACAGCAAGTGCCATGAATACAGTTGCAACAGAATGCACAGATCGTCCAACTCAGCCAAATCAAGTATTTCCAATGTGTAGCCAACGGAGTAGAAGTGCCAGCAGAGGGTCAATTGTGCAAAAAGTAAGCTTGTAGATTACTGAAATATGGCTATCCAAGTTTTCTATTTTGGTAGGATTGCAATGGAAATATTTTGGGGAAATAGTTTTGTTTTTCAAAAACAGAAGCATCTGGAACCTACGTTTTGTACCAATAATAAGTCTGTTGCATTTAACACATCTTCTCCATGTCTGTTGGGTGTGTTTTAAAGCATGACCTCATGGTAATACTTTTCTATACAACATATTTATGCTTTGGGGAGGTGAGATGCACTGAGAAAGAGCTGTGTGTTTTATTTTAAAGGTAATATCATTTAAAACAAGGAAGTGAATTTTTTAAATCACTGAAAGATGCAAATGCAATTAAGTGACTATTAAAAATAACAAAACACATACAAAAATATATGAACTTCCCACTGTCTCTCTCTAGTGCAGTGGTCCTTAACCTGTGGGTCCCCAGGTGTTTTGACCTATAACTCCCAGAAATCCTACCCAGTTTGCCAACTGTTAGGATTTCTGGGGACCCACAGATTGAGAACCACTGATCAAATGATTATTATCCCTTATTAGATGATATTAGATTGGTTGTTCCCAACCTTTTTTTGACCAGGGACTACTCTCCAACATTAGTACCAGAAGGGTTTTGTCAACTTTAGATTCAGTTTGGTTATTTAGGGTGCTGGTTCTGAAAATTACATTGGATTGATCACATCAGCTCTTGTTTCTGATACAGAAGGTGTGCAATCCAGTAGTCGCCATCTGTTTGTACACAGAAAAACAAATTCAGTAATTGAGAGCTGATGTGGTAGTAGTAATCTATTGTGGGTAGTTAGCCTCTCCCCTGCCGACATCCCTGTTGCCTCAGCACTATAAGAGGGTTTTGAGAGACCAGTCGCTCTTGTTGCTGCGTGGTGTCGAGGCAATGGTGTAGTAATGGTGAGACCATATTTTTGTTCTTCCTGATCACTGGTTTTCCATGGACCACAGGTTGGCTACCACTGTATTAGATAGTCACAGTTCTACTTTTGGCAGTACTCTACTAATGCATAAATGCTACAGTGAAATGGTATTTTAATCATCTTCTCATAATTCCAGGTCTCTTTCTTTGCTAATTGCTTGAAAGTATTGGCAGGTGTATTGTATATTTTTAAATGGTCACTTCCTCTGAACTTTGAGGGATAACACACACTCTTTTCACTAAGAATATGCTTGTGCTTGATTGATTTTGTCACAATAATTCTGTGGTGCCAGGGTTCCCTAAAAGCTAAAATCATTATCTGAATAGTTTAGATGTACAGTTTATCCTCAGGCATGGGCAGACTTCAGCCCTTCAAGTATTTTGGACTTCAGCTCCCAGAAATCCCAGCCAGTTTACCGACTATTAGTAATTGTGGGAATTGAAATCCAAAACACCTGGAGGATCGGTGTTTGCCCATGCCTGGTTTATCTGCACAAATATCCTATAGGCAAAAAAGTTTTTTGACAATTTAAAGATACCAGGTTTTACCAGAGCTTTCTGCTTCAGCAGAACTGGTTTTCTAGCCTGGAAAACTTGATTATGAACCTGTAATTTCTGCTTGTCAACCATGTTTTTATGTTCCAATTAAAGTTGCTAAGTGTTGAAATATTTACAACATAAGTTGCTCCCTAGCTATTCAGGCTTTATATACGTGCGGCCGGAAACAAGATTGTATCTTATTGTCTGCATAATTGAATTGCTTGGAATGCATTATACACATAACAGTCATAATTACATTTAAAATTATTCAATTCTAATACTTCTAATGTTTTGTTGTAGAGTTGTGTGTTCATTATTTTGCAGTTTAAAAACATTTATTCAACCTTGGTGCAGAAATTAATATTTTTGTCTCAAGATCATGTGGATCTGAAGAGATGACACACACTCCCAGATGTGCATTTAACATTTTTATTTTAACATATGTATTTAATGACTATCTAAGAAAACACAGTAAACCATATTAAAAGTACAATTCTATACATTTTTTAAAATTTTATTTCGCATCAAAAGCATTGCATAAATTAGTATAAAACCGATAAAAATAGAAGGAGCGCAGGTGGCTAAATATCTTTTGACCAAAAATGGGCAACCACAATGGCATTATCTTTAGCCTCCAACAATTCTTCCTCTGTACATGAGGCAGGGCATAGTGGACAAGCATACAGATGCGGAGTTGTCTATTCTGCTGCACAGTCACAAAAGGTGTGGGATTCTTTTAGGTAGTGCCATTTTGCCAGGTTGTCTTTTGTTCTGCCCACAATTCTATACATTATGTAAGTATAGTAAAGCTGTTATACCAGTTAAAATGGTCCCTTTTCACACACCGAATGAATGCTTAATAAAAAACACAGTCAACCTTATTCTCGTAATGATATTAGAAGTACGATTCCATGCAATATATCTATCTATATCTATAGACACATAATTAAAGTGAAAATATGTGTATGCGTGTATGTGGTGGAGGTGTCCATTTACACAGACAGCCTCCCTCCTCCACAAACAGGCTATAGTTCAAAGTGTTGAGAAGCCTCCAAAGGCACTCCCTCCATTGACATTGCAGGTTATTGTGAACACCAGGGCGTAGTGAAAAATATTATTCCACCCTGCTGTTTTCGGACTCTAACACTACAATAACTTACAGTGTTGCTAAGTTTTATACTGCAGCACTTAAAATTAGACGGATGATGATTGGCTCCACAAGGCAACACCCTATTGGAAATGTAGTTAGAGCAACATATTACAGCTGAAATGCTACTAGACTTGCAATGTGCCCCTCCCACCCCTTTAGTGCCCCCCCCTCAGTGTTTTTGACCCCTCCTATCAATCTTCTCCCCCCTTCCCGCATTTTAAAATGTAATTTTAAACTGTTTTCTAATCTACTTTTAAATAACTGCTTCATTGGGGAGTTATCCTTCCCCTCCCAGGGTGCTTGTGCCTCGCTTTGTGCTGGTCAATGACGTAATAAAGTTTTTTGTTGTAGTGAGCACTATGAACATGTAGCCCAACCCCTGCAGTGTCCTCCCCAAACATCAACCACCAAAGGAATGCTTTCATTTGGGGACCATTTCTTTCTAGATGTTCTGTTTTTTCTGCAGAATGGATATCCCAGGGTTCCTCTCTCTCCAAATGTGCATGACCCGCCCACTGCCCCTCACTTAACCCCTGCAGTGTCCTCCCCAAACATCAACCACCCAAGGAATGCTTTCATTCGGGGACCATTTCTTCCTAGATGTTCTGTTTTTTCTCCAGAATGGATATCCCAGGGTGTCTCTCTTCAAATTTGCATGACCCTGCCCACTGCCCCTCACTTTCCTACCCATTCCTATGGCACACAGCAAACAGAAATTGATCGACAACTGAACAAGAGACACCCCAAAACAGACAGTGCCTTTTTCAAATAACCCGGACCAACATAACATACTGGAGAGGAGGGTTTTTTTTTTGCGGTGGGTGGCGGGGGTGACCTGCCTGCACGGGAGTTGTAGTTCACCCTGCATCCAGAGATACTACCAAATTTCCCAAAATAAACAATGCCATTCTCAAGTAACCTGAGCATCGCTGGGTCCCCAAGGTAGTATATAAATATAGTAAAACAGTTAAAATGATCCTTTATCACACACTGTTTGAATGTACGCTTGATAAAAAAAACTCAATAGATGCTATTGTGCTAAAAGGCCTATCTGTTCCTTGAGATATAAGTAAAAGCAGTCAGTTTATTTATTTATTTATGGCATTTATATGCCGCCCTTCTCACCCCAAAGGAGACGCAGAGCGGCTTACAATATATTATATTATTAGCATAGGACAATATCAGTATTATATATTACTATATTGTACTATACCATTATATATATATATACACACACACATACACTATATCATAACATATTATTATTTATAATAATCAGTTTATTAAATTTCTTCTACCCTCTTTACTTTCTTCCATTATCCCAGGATTGGTGAATTTTTAATTTGTTTCCATCTGTACTAAAGTACAGATCTGAAGTTAGACATTATTCCTAGATTCAAACAGGTTATGCTCTATAACGGTGTTGCAAAAATATCTAGTAAATGAAAGAGTACATCTGGAAGGGACCTTTTCAGCACTCAAGCATTGTCTTGTGTAAATCATCTCCACTGCCTGACTAGCTAATCTCTTTGGTCTGCTAATCTTTTTAAAGCAGCAACAGCCTTTGCAGACCCACATAAAAAGCAAAAGGCCTCCAGTGAAAAGTGTTGCTACCCAGAAAGAGACTTGTGCATCCGGCCCTGAGACCAGACCGAAAATTGTATTGTTGGTAGATGCTTGTCAACAAACAGGTACAGCACTGGCATGTTTCTATGTTCGCTAAAGAAGGTTGTAGCATAAGCTGCAATTGGTTAAAATAGCTCAGTGTGAAGAAATGCAACAAAAATACTATAAATGTTCCCGTTCTGAAACTGGGCTAAAACTGCCTCCTCACTGATGCATCCCAGACCTTGTGCAAACTTACAATGGCAATATTATGACATTTTGTCCATATCTCTATCCCCTTTTCTCAACCCATGAATTTCTCTTTCACACAAACATCTCAATTCAATTCTTTCTTTAGAATATCTTTAGTCTTATGACCATAATCATGAATGACAACTTCATATGAAAAACAGTTACTTATATGGGTTGCTGTGAGTTTTCCAGACTGTATGTCCATGTTCCAGAAGCATTCTCTCCTGACGTTTCACCCACATCTATGGCAAGCATCCTCACAGGGTTGTGAGGTCTGTTGGAAACTAAGCAAGTGGGGAAAAAACTCTTGTCTGTCTGAAATTCCCCTGTTTTTTGAGTGTTGCTTTTTATTTACTGTCCTGATTTTAGAGGTTTTTTTTAATACTGGTAGCCAGAGTTTGTTCATTTTCATGATCACGCTTAACAACTACCATGACATCCTGGACATTCCACAGATATATAAACCCAATTTTCCTAGTTTCCAACACTCATAACCTCTGAGGATGCCTGCCATAGATGTGGGAGAAATGTCAGGAGAGAATGCTTCTGGAATATGGACATATAGCCCAAAAAACTCACAGCAACCCAGTAATTCTAGCCATGAAGGCCTTTGACAACACATTGGAGACCATCAGTTTGTGAATATGCTTAATAAAAAAATAACATAAAAATGAAATGTATTTTCCAAACAGCTCAGCCTACTTATGTTCAGTCCTAACAAAATAATATGTAGTTGAATGGTGGGTGAAAGAAATGTGGATAGGAATACAATGGAATATTTTCAAAATGGGGGTTAAAGATTATTTTCAAAATATTTTTCATAATCTCTAGCATCCTCTCATGGAAACCTGGGTTTTACAGGGAACCCTGGTTAACAATCCCTGTTCTAGAGTCTCAGATATCAGAGTAGCAGCTGGAAAGGCAAATTCCTCTCATTTGATCCCGCAAAGGGTCTTTTGCAAAGGGTTGCCTTAGGCAGTCACCTAGGGTGACTGATAAGGCTGGTACTATTGTGACCATTTTGGGATAAAATATTTCAAATTAGTTCAAGTGCAGTGGTTTCTCAATATTTATTTATTTATTTATTTATTATTTACGACATTTATATGCCACCCTTCTAACCCCAAAAGGGACTCGGAGCGGCTTACAAGATATATATACATACAATATATTGTATTAGTAGCATAGTACAATATCACTATTAAATATTACTATATTGTACTATACCATTATATTGTAATATTATTAGCAATATTACATGTAATATAAATATATATTTATAATATCATATTATTATTATGAGTATTATATTGCATTATATTGCAACAATCCTTTAACTGTTGCCTTTCAGACTTTCCCTCAGAGATAGCAAGCAAATCACTGTCTGAGAGCATGAGCAACATGCACTGGAAACCAAAAACTAGGCGCCGTCGGTCCTCCCATCCTGCCGAATCTTCTAGCGAGCAAGGGGCTAGTGAAGCGGACATTGACAGCGACAGTGGCTATTGCAGTCCCAAACACAGTAACCAGGCTGCTGCTGTGACCTCAAGGAGTGCTGAATCTGTTGCAGGAAATGTAGGTAAACGTGGCTGGAAAATAGAAGTCAGTCCTGAAATATTAAGCATTGAAGATGGCACAAAATAAGCAACATATAAAAATAATCCTTACAACTTTTTTTTTTCATTTTCAGATCTTGGAACCTTCAGTACATCCAGGTAAAGTTTCTATATTAATTGGTCAAGAATATAAATTTAATTGAAGATTAGCTTGTCTTTTCCTCGGTTTCATTTCTCTTTGTTGCATGGTAACCATTTGGTTCTGTTTCTGCTTGATGTAATGAAACTCTGATACAAAAAGGATTTTTGTGTGTGTGTGTCTGGAGCGACTTGAGAAACTGCAAGTTACTTCTGGTGTGAGATAATTGGCTGTCTGCAAGGACATTGTCCAAGGGACGCCCGGATGTTTTACCATCCTGTGGGAGGTTTCTCTTATTTATTTATTTATTTATTTATTTACTGTATTTGTATACCGCCCCTCTCAGCCTTCTGGATAGAAATAGTGAATACATTTCCATGATTTTAACGGGTCACTTATATGTTTTCATGAGGCAGTGATCCATCACATTGCTTGTGAAGCTTAAAACTCTTTTCAATTTCTCCTAAATATCTTGTCTTTGTTGCTAATGTGATCTTGAACATTTTAGAAGGACTGGTCTATCTTATCCCACATATGTTATAAAATGGAGAGCATCAAAGAATTTTAAAAGAATTTTTTGTGGGATATAAATCGTAGCATAGCCTTTGATCATAACGTGTCGTGTTTAGTAGAAAGCAAATAGAACAGTATTTGCTAGTATTGCAGAATGCATTTTAGATTGGGAAGCTTGTAGACCACCATCAGTGCCTTGTTACCTTTCTGATATGAACATTTAGAAATATTTTAAGATATACTTTTCAGTGAGTTTTTCCTTTACCTGTATGGCTTTCCATATTTCTTTATTGTTTTATCTCTTGTTGACATTTCGTCTTCTTTCCCATATGAAACATTTTTTTAAACATCTTTTTTCAGCTGGTGCCACTTGGGCAAATGTGAGCTCACAAGCAACTCAGAAAAAGCCATGGATGGAGGGAACGCCAGCCTTCTCAAGAGGCGGGAGACAAGCTGAGCAGCATAATGGTTCACAGGTATTATTTATTTTAAGCATCCCTCTGCTCTTTCAGCTGCTCTTCTCCTGAAACAACGGAAAGACCATGAGAAAAACTAGAAGAGTCTTTCCCCTTTTCCTTTATAGTCTATACCAACACACAAAGAAATGGTGAGGAAAGGAGAAAATATGCATCCACCTGTTCTTAATGTTATACAGTCAATAAACTGTCTGAATGAAAACAAGCTACAACAGTACAGAATAGGAACATACTGTATATATTTGAGTATAAGCTGACCCGAATATAAGCTGAGGCACCTAATTTTACCACAAAAAAAACTGGGAAAACGTATTGACTTGAGTGGCAAATGCAGAAACCACTGGTAAATTTCAAAGTAGAAATAGAAACCAATAAAATTACATTAATTGAGGCATCAGTAGGTTAAATGTTTTTGAATATTTACATAACACTGTCATTTAAAATAAGACTACAACTCTGATTAAATCATTGGTCTAATCTTTCTCAAAATGTGCTTACGTATCCTTCCAATAATAATAAAGTAAAATAATAAATGCAATAATAATAATACAGTAAAATAATAAATGTAATAAAATTGTAATTATATTATAATGTAATACAATATAATACTAGTAGTAATAATATAATATAATTATAATTATATATTTAAATTACATGTAATATTACTAATAATATTACGATATAATGGTATAGTGTAATATAGTAATGTATAATACTGATATTGTACTATGCTAATAATATAATATATTGTATGAAAATATATCTTGTAAGCCGCTCTGAGTCTCCTTCGGGGTGAGAAGGGCGGCATATAAATGCCGTAAAAAAAATAGTAATAATAGAATAAAATAACATAAATGTAATAATAATAGAGTAAAATAATAAATGTAATAATAATAATAATAACAACAACAGAGTAAAATAATAAATAATTTTGACTTGAGTATAAGCTGAAAGGGCTTTTTCAGCCTATATGGTAATCTTATAAATAATTTGAAGGCCATGTAAGGATGTAATTTGTGCTTTTAAAAATAAAATTGCATTCCAAGATAAATAGAAGTACACTCATTGCAAATATATGTGGTTAATATATTTGCATCAGTTTGGTTTTGCTGGTGGGTGAATTGTAGATAGCAAACCCCATGGGTGTTCAGCTATGTATAATGTAGTAAAATGGCAAAGCCAAGCTCTGCATTTTTGAATTTTAAAACATATTTTCAAGCTATGCATGGTTGAATCCATGATACAGAATCCATGAATATGGGCTGTATCTGTTTAGTCCTGCAGCTAGACTGTAAATGTTAGTAAATTTGATTCCATGTCTCGGCATTATTTTCAGTCCATGTCTATGTACTTAAATGGAGCTTACTGTCTTCTCTTCATCCTTCAGGCTTAGCTTGCTTCATTTAGCTCTCTAATGCTGATGAATTCTAATTAATTGTCATACATTCCAAGTCTGGTCCCGGGTTGAAACTCAGATTTTCATAAAATATTTGTTTTAACTTTATCTTTAAAAACCATTCAATTGTTTAATGTATTTAAATAGTTTTAAGTTGTTATAATTTTGAAATGATTTCGACTGAATTTGTTGTAAGTTGTTTAGAGATCTTATGAAATGGGTTGGGATGGAGATGTGTCTACATAATATACTGTATTACTAAGACACACTTTCCCCCTTGTATAAACATTTCTAAAAATAGAATTGCAGGTGTAGCTTATGTATTTTTACCTATAATTTAAAATAAATAAATAGATTCTTCCAGTATAAGTCTCTTTTTCCCTTCTGTAATCACGCAGTGAAACGTAAAGTGGCAGTTATCCCTTAGTATGATTAGCATGTATTGTGAACTTCACTTATAGGACAAGTAGCCACTAGTACAATGATACAAAGATGTTAAATGTCATTTAACATTATATTATGTACAACGGATCAGTGTGGATTCCAAATAGGCTGTTATAATTCATCATCAAACTATTGCCGCTTTGTGAAACTCATTAGGTTGAGCAACATGACACAGTTTTACATGTTGCTGAACTGTATAGTACATAATATAATGTTTAATGACATTAACATCTCTGTATCATTGTACTAGTGGATATTTGTCCCTTGAGCCCTTGATAACCCATTGTTGTTTTTAGAACTTCACTTATAGCCACTGCTTTCACAGTTTTATTGTAAAAGCACCAATCCATGTTTGTTTGTTTGTCCTATGTACTTGCAGCCTGCCTTTCGATGTAGAGGACACAGTACATCTTCCGAAAGAAGACAGAATTTGCAGAAGAAACCCGAGAAACCTGTCAGCTCAAGCCAGTCAAGCAAAAGAGAGCAGAGTCCTGGCTCTTTATATTTTGAGGTAACTGTGTGGTTCATTTTGTTTATGATCATTGCGATTTCTTAAGGCCTTGCTGAAACTGAGTGTGTCATAGCTAGCTAGTGACAACATAAAATTGAATGATCATGCCATTCCGTTCTCTGGAAGTTTTTAAGCACAGGCTGGATGACCATCTGTTGGGGTGCTTTGACTATGTGTTTTTGCATTGCAGGCATTTGATTGGACTGGATGGCCCTTGTGGTCTCTTCAAATATTATGATTCTAAGTGTGTAATATCACTGTCTTTCAAAATTATAATACTGTTATTTTCCTTGCTTTATTATTATTATTTAGTTCTTCATATCTACTTGTCTCCCAGTATAAAACGTAAGACTGATCACAGTATATTTTCAAACCAAATTCTGTGAATTATTGTACTTTGCCATCTTGCTGTCATTATTTTCTTCACATTAGTAGTTGTAGCATAATGAACAATTAACATCTCATTACAAATGGTTTGCTTTAACCATTCAAGTCTGACATTGCTGATTGCTAGTTCAGGTGATGCCTTGTATTTTAAAGCTTCCTGAATTACTATTTACATGACTTGTTGTTGACTATTTAGGACGAAGAAGAATTTCCTGAGTTAAATAGTGACAGTGGCAATTCCAAAGGTGGCAACATGCAGCTGAAAAACGCACCCAAAGTGGTAAGAAATGCTACAGGACTCTTGAAATGTCAATGAATTTCTGATTTGGATAATTACCTGGGTTTTTTTTGTTTTGTTTTTTTTTTTGGCTGCTCTGGCAGATTATATGCATAATGAATGATGAAGCTTGGTGGGAGAAGACTGGAGACACTGAAAGTTGTATGCAGGGTTCTTGTGCATATTTACATTTCCTAGACATTTATGGTTTCAGTTTGAAAGAAGAAAACAAGTTTCTAGGCCTTCAGGCTAGGTATTTGAAATGTGTGTGATGCCAACTAAAATTTCAAAAGCGATAGGTGTGGCTGAGTTAAGCATGAATAATGCTAAGGAATGGAACTTCAATGCTATTTATAAATACACTCATGATCAAAACAAATTATGTAAAATAGGTTGGTTTTTTTAATATTCAATGGGAATAATTTTTGGAGGCCCTGCAATTGATCTTTTCTGGATGTAACATTTGCATCTTTTGAACAACTCAAACCAAAGTATAGGGAATATTGATTCTATGCAAATAATCACAAGAAGGTTGATTACAGAAGATGAAATAACTATCAAAAATATCACCTGTCTTGAGAAATTAATTTCTGCTAATATATATTTTTTGAAAACTTATATTATATATTAGTTGTTTCCAGGGCTGATGTCATTGTTATGCAAAATGACACACTCTTTTACAGCATATGCTAGGAGTCAGTAGGAAAGTGTTGGAGGAAAGAACTCTGTCAATCTGCCTTGCATCCTTAGGCTAGCCTACTTCATTCAGGTTTTTGTTCCATCAAACAGTGATTTAAAAAAGAGTTTTAATATTCAACAAGTATTCCAAAAGGCTTACCTACATCATCTCAGATGGAAAAATGTTTTGGCCCAGTCCTGGTTTAGATAAGGATGTTGCTGTGTGCCTTCACACAATCCTGAGGCAATCCTGAGGGGAATCGCTTATTGTCTTCCTCTAAGGCTGAAAGAGTGTGAGTTGACCAAGAGCTTCTAATAGGTTTCTAGTAGGGATTCAAACTCTGGTTCCTCATCACACAACACTGGCTTTTCCTTAGATAAGCATGACTTACCTTTATAGCCCCATGAAATCTCATAATCAACTAATTCAGTGGATGGGAATATTTGGCCAGTCAATTCATTACAAACATGTTGGGTTTACCGTACATCCAGAAAACAGTATAAGCTGAGTTTTTCAGTCCTTTTTTAAGGCTGAAAAAGCCCCTCTCGGCTTAGACTCAAGTCAAGATTATTTATTATTTTACTCTATTATGATGATGATGATGATTATTATTATTACATTTAATATTTTACTCAATTTATTATTATTATTATTACATTATTTTACTCTTTTTTATTTCTATTTTTATTATTTTTCTTATACTCTATTATTACATTTATTATTTTTATCTTATTATTACATTCATTATTTACTCTATTATTATTACATTTATTTTTACTCTATTATTATTAGTATATTTATAATTTAACATTATTATTATTATTATTATTACATTTATTATTTTATTACTATTATTACATTTCCAGTATTTTACTCTATTATTATTATTATTATTATTATTATTACTATGATTACATTTATTATTTTACTTTCTTTATTATTATTGGAAGGATAATAATTTACATTGAAGAAGGTTAGAACAATGGTTTAATCACAGTTGAATAGTCGTATCTGAAATTACAATTTTATGTAAATATTCAAACACATTTAACCTATTGATGCCTCAATTAATGTAATTTGGGTTACTATGGTTGGACTAGTCAAAGAAGCAGGGTGAGCTGAAGAAACCAGATTTATAATGGGTTAGGCTTTGCCTCACAAGCACCTTTTATCTGTATGCTTTTTCCATGTTGTTTGTAGTTGGACGGTTTACCTGAAAACTCTCCAATCAACATTGTACAGACCCCAATTCCAATCACCACCTCTGTTCCTAAAAGGGCAAAAAGTCAAAAGAAGAAAGCCCTGGCGGCAGCACTGGCTACGGCTCAAGAGTATTCAGAAATCAGCATGGAGCAGAGGAAACTCCAGGTCTGTTCTCAATAATGTGCTAGTTGTGATGAATGGTTTATTTTAGTCAGGGATGGACTTCTTGGCAATCCAAGGTCACAGAGCAAAAATCTTTTGCTAGATGACCCTACCAAATAGCATTTTTGTAATTTTACTTGCAAACAAACAAACAAAAAATGATAAAAGTTTGAAGTTGTAAAATATTTTCCAGTATTAGATTTCTTATGTACAGCCCTAGGTATCTGTAGCTGGAATCCTGTTAATGAACTGCACTAGGAAGAAATTATTGCAAAAGTGGTTGCCATGAACTGATAGGCTGTTTGGACCAGTGGATTTTGCTCTCCCTCCCCATCACTGTGATGCTGGAAAAGTGACACTGCCAGGATACAGCAACAGGATCTTGATGGATCCTCTCCACCCTTCCTTTACAGCTAGATGAAATATCATGCTGACAAGAGAAACTCTCTGTTCTGAAATAGACTAAATATCTTCTATATCTGAATATAAAAACTACATGGGTTAGGACGCCCCAATATTGGGTTGCTGTGAGTTTTCGCCACATCTATGGAAGGCATCCTTAGAGGTTGTATGATCTGTTGGAAACTAGGCAAGTGAGGTAGAATAATGTCTAGGGTGGGAGAAAGAACTCTTTGTCTGCTGAAGGCAAGTGTGAATTCGCATTTGGCCACCTTAATTAGCATTTAATGGCCTTGCAGCTGGACCACTCTTAACAACACCATGTCAGACGACACAGAGAAGCCATTGAAATCCAAAGCATATGGACAATTCAACAGAACAGAGGAAAACATGAAAATGAACAAAATCTGGCTACCAGTTTTTAAAAAACTCTAAAATCAGGACAGTCAAAAAACAGGGGAATTCCAGACAAGAATCAATCAGGTCTAGCTAACACCTCCCAACAACAGATTCCCCCCAGGCAGGAAGCAGCAATGCTTTGAAGCTGCAAGGCCACTCAGTGCTAATCAAGGTGGCCAATTGCAACATTCACACTTGCCTCAAGTAGAAAAGAGTTCTTTCTTCCACTCTGGACATTCCACAGATACTTAAGCATCACATGTCAAATTTCCAACATATCTTGCAACCTTTGAGGATGCCTGCCATAAATATGGGCGAAACGTCAAGAGGAAATACTTCTGGAACATGGTCGTACAGCCCAGAAAACTCACAGCAACCCAGTGATTCCAGCCATGAAAGCCTTCGACAGCCCAGTATTGTTTGAGAACGTAATATTAATCTGTGAAAATATAATGATGCCTTCAAAGAAGGTGCTCAAGATTTTATTTGTTTATTTATTTATAATATTTATATTCTGCCCTTCTCACCCCGCAGGGGACACAGGGCGAATTACAATGTATACATGGCAAACATTCAATGCCATAGACACACAACATATATAGACAGACACACAGAAGCTATTTAACATTCCAGCTTCATGAGGGTTTTCTGGCCACCAGGGGAGTGTCGCTTCACTGTCCATTTGTGACACTAATGGAGTACTTCCTTCTTCTTTTGCTTGCTTTCTGGAGATTTTATGYTATCGTAAATTAGTTAAATGAGCCTCCCCGCATAAGCAGTACCTAAATTTCCTACTTGACAGATGCAACTGTTTTTTGGGCTMCAAAGGTCATCAGCAAGCTACACAAATGGTTGGAAGCTCACTCTGACCCGGGCTGGCTTTGAACTCATTTATCTTTCGCTCGGTAGTGATTTTAWTGCAGCTGACTATAAAGGTTTGGTTCTGGAGAAAGTGCAGTGCCTTGCCTGTCATAGACTGGCTATATAATGTAATTAAAGTAAATGTACCAAATCATTTTAAAAGTCTTGTGTTTCTCTTTATTTGTGCAGCTATGTTTGTATATTTGTGATTCCATATAATAAATAGTGTTTTTATTTTTTTACTCTAGGAAGCTGTTTCCAAAGCAGCTGGGAAGAAAAGTAAAACCCCGGTGCAGTTAGACCTGGGAGACATGCTGGCAGCGCTAGAGAAACAGCAGCAAGCGATGAAAGCTCGCCAGATCACAAATACCAGGCCACTCTCCTACACAGGTGGGTACATCCTCTTTGTCTTTTTCTCACTATTTGTTTTGCAGATTTTATTCAGTGTAGTAGCCAATGTGTTAACACTAGACGTAGTGAGTTTTAACATGGAGCACAAGTGTTACATTTGAATTTTCTTCCTTAACTAGAATTCTGTTGTGAAACATGATGTCTTCTAAAGTATAGGTAGCTACTACAAGACTGCTCTCTGTGGCAAGCATTATGAGTGCATGTGGTCAGGACATCTGCTTGATATGGAATGAGATTCCCCATTTGAAAACATTGGGAGCAGGGAATTGTTCTTTCCACAGCATTTAGCGCCACGCTGCCAGATCCCCGATCATTCTAGCAACTTGCTCTTTGTTTAGTGCTGCTAGCTCTGTATCTTCAATGAAAGAAAGAGATTTTAACCGTTTCCTAATGAACTGTGTAATTTACTATGTGACTGGCCTTCTAAATAAAAGGAAAACGCAATCTGGTGCACTTGGTTGCTTGCTGGAAATGTTATGTAAATTGCCTACTGTTAATGAAATAAGCACTTTGATTGCCTTCAGCACTTAATTATTTGGAATGAGTTTGCATTTTCAAAAAAAGAATTCATCTTTCCCTCTGAGGATTATTTTGCTTGTGTCTTTCTGATCCAGTCAGAAGCAGTTTTGGGTAGCAGTGAAACGTTTGTTTTGAAGATAGTGGTTGTTGGAAATTGGGAAAAGAAACCCTTTGGTATACTCAACTAGAACTCAGGGAGACTCTTACTCCATATCCCAATTTGTTTGACCCCTTAGTGTAATATATGGCTCGCTAAGGAGTGGCTCAAAATTTCAAAAGTGGTTTCTAGTTCTTTCCTTTCTTTGATTTGATTGAATGTTTGCCTTTTATGTTTGGAATCCACCCTGAGTCCCTTTGGGGAGATAGAGCGGAATATAAATAAAGTTATTATTATTATTATTATTATTATTATTATTATTATTATTGATTAGGCCAGCGGTTCTCAACCTGTGGGTCCCCAGGTGTTTTAGCTTACAACTCCCAGAAATCCCAGCTAGTTTTTCAGCTATTAGGATTTTTGGGAGTTGAAGGCCAAAACAGCTGGGGACCCTTTGGTTGAGAACCACTGGATTAGGCGATCCCTCGTAGCTCGATGATGATGGTCCTCCAAGTGCAGTGTCTTGGCTGTGAGTCTGTAGGTTACTGTGGAGCTCTGTACTTAATCCACGTGTTTTCCCCCAGTGAGGTCATCGGTTTCCAGGTGGAAGGTGGTCCCGGTCAGGGTTGACTTGACATGCCTTCTTCTTGGCACGTTTCTCCCTTTCTCCCTCCATTTGTACCTCTTTGAATTCTGCAGCACTGCTGGTCACAGCTAACCTCCAGTCGAGTGCTCAAGGGCCAGGGCTTCCCAGTTCTCAGTGTCTACGCCACAGTTTTTAAGGTTGGCTTTAAGCCAATCTTTAGATGTCTTTTTCTGCCCACCAACATTACGTTTCCCATCCTTGAGTTGGGAGTTGAATAACTGCTTTGGGAGACAGTGATTGGGCATTCAAACAAGATAGCCAGTCAAGCGGAGCTGATGGCGTAGGAGCATTGCTTCAATGTTGGTGGTCTTTGCTTCTCCCAGCACGCTGACATTTGTCCGCCTCTCTTCCCAAGAAATTTGCAGGATTTTTCAGATGCAACACTGATGGAATCATCCCAGGAGTTGAGTATGACATCTGTAGACAGTGTACGTTTTGCAGATGTATAGCAGGGTTAGGAGGACAGTAGCTTTATAAACCTTGGTCTCCCTACGGTTGTCCCGATCCTCAAACACACTCTGCTTCATTCAGAAAAATGCTGCACTCGCAGAGCTCAGGCGGTGTTATATTTCAGTGTCAATGTTGATCTTTGTGGAGAGGTGGCTGGTGACCGCTGGAAGAGCATTTTGGTTTTCTTGATGTTCATTGACAGGCCGAGCTTCTTGTATGCTTCTGCGAAGGTGTTTATAGTGGTTTGTAGGTCTTCTCCTGAATACGCACAGATATCATCAGCTTTGGTTTCTAAATGAAGCTGCAAACTGAGATAATGTTTTTTTTACGGCCAGTGTGTATTCTATTATTCTGTTTTTCTACATAAGGTTAAATTAAAGATTAGTTAAAACCATCTGGATGCAGAACTATTCCATTGTGTAACTTTCCTGTCATTGTGTTCCAACAAAGGAAAAGGTTTTTCCACTGATAACTGATCCGTAAGGAAAAACTTGAGAACGCCAGTTTTCTTTTGGCAGCACCAGTCAGCTCTTATTCTGTCCTGTTCCTGTACAGTTGGCAACGCTGCTCCTTTTCACACCAAAGAATCCACCAACCGGAAATCATTAGGAAAGGGGCAGCCATCTGTGGGTTGCCTGAACCCTTTAGATTCCACGGCCCCAAAAGTGAAACGAGGAAAGGAACGAGAGCTTTCAAAGCTGAAGCGTCCGACAGCACTTAAAAAGGTAAACTGCCTTTAAATATTGCATCATTTTCGTAATATGGCCTTTAAAGTATGGCAGTAGAAATCATGAATCTTGGGTCTTGGTGGCAGAGGAAGATCTGGTGATCACACCTGATGGTGATGGAGAGTGTGAAACTAACCCTTTATATCAGGCATGGACAAACTTTAGCCCTCCAGGTGTTCTGAACTTCAACTCCCATGATTCCTAACAGCCTCAGACCACTTTCTTTTACCCCTCAGCCACTTAAGTGGAAAAGGAAAGGAAAGAAAGGGGCCTGAGGCTCTTCGGAATTGTGGGAGTTGAAGTCCAAAACACCTGTAGGGCCGAAGTTTGCCCCTGCCTGCTCTATATGCAGTTACAGTGAATTGTAGAACAGGACTGAGCAACTATGGATAGATAGGCACCACTTTAGACGTCCCAGGAGTGCTTGAGGGCCCACACTTCCTTCCATACCAGTACCCACAAAGATAAATACATCTTTTTTTTAAAAATGCCCCTCATACTTTAGGGGACCAGGATAATGTTCTTACCTTGTTTTGTATCTTCCCAGAAGTTCGGGTTCAGGTGACACCTTTTTTAGAAAGCAGGAAGTGTTTCAAAGAAGACCTTTCTTAACTTCAAAGAATGGGTCCAAATATGGTGGGAATGAACCCTACACCCCGTAGAAGGCATTACAAAAAAAAAGATTTCATAGACTCATCGAATTGGAAGAGTTCTTGAGTTGCCCGAAAGGGGCTCCATATGTGACAAAAAAGCCCCTCATGTCCTTAGAGCAGTGGTTCACAACCTGTGGGTCCCCAGGTGTTTTGGCCTACAACTCCCAGAAATCTCAGCCGGTTTACCAGCTGTTAGGATTTCTGGGAATCGAAGGCCAAAACATCTGGGGAACCCACATGTTGAGAACCACTGCCTTAGAGGGTTTGGGGATACATTTTTGAGCATTTCCCCCCCTGAGGGGCTTCATTTGGGCTGGACTTTGCCTATCTCCGGTGTGGAATGAGACAGTTTCCACAAGCTGCATGTGGCTCCTAACTTTACTTCTGTTATGCCATAGATGTGTCCTTGTATTCTGAGGGGTGTTCGAGGAGGAAATCCTAATCTTGGCCCTCCCTTCAGCTTTTATTTTATCATGTCAGAAGCAACCTGAGAAATTGCAAGTTGCTTCTTGTGCAAGAGAATTGGCCATCTGCAGGGAGGCTTCTCTCATGTCCCTGCATGGGAAGCTGGAGCTGACAGATGGGAGCTCATCCCGTCTCACGGATTCGAACCACTGACCTTCAGGCCAGCAGTTCAGTTGGCACAAGGGTTTAACCCATTGTGCTGCTGCGGCTCCCTGTAGCTCCCCACCCCTTATTTATTGGTAAACACAGGGTGTCTGGGTTTCATAAATCATCCCTTGATTATGCTGACATCTTGGGAAATCGGCTCTCATTTCCGAGATCTTTGCCATTCCCCATATACTTGTCCAATGTTCAGCCAATTAACTTTTACATGTTATGCTATTTCTGACGTTTGCACTATTTTTCAGGGTTTTTTTTAGTCATGAACTAATTACTTGTTCTGGCTTTTTAAGAATAGCACAGATACTTGCTGTCTCTTTTTTCAGTTTCCAGAACACAGTCCCCCATGTTTTAGGTTTGCACGGGGAGCAAAGGCAAAGACTTGACCTTTTGAAACAAAGAAACAAGATATAAACGCAAATAAGAAATCAATTGTTCACAACAATTATAACATTGGGTTTATTTCAGATTATCTTGAAAGAGAGAGAAGAAAAGAAAGGACGCTTATCTGTGGACCATACTGTTGTTGGAGCCGATGAAGAACAGGAGGTTGATCTGAACCTGACTCCTAACCAGTCGGAAGAACTTGCATCACAAGAAGGTTAGAATGTCACTCAGCTTGTGCATTGAGGACTCTTAAGATCTTTTTCACACATACTGCTCTCGAGCCAAGCGTCCCCCATTCTGTATCTTTGCATTTCATTTTTTTCTATCTAAATGGAGTATCTTGCATTTGTCCCTGTTGAACTTCATTTTGTTAGTTTTGGCCCATCTCTCTAATATGTCAAGATCGTTTTGAATCCTCCTCCTGTCCTCTGGAGTATTGGCTCTCCCTCTCAATTTGGTGTCGTCTGCAAACTTGATGATCATGCCTTCTAACCCTTCATCTAAGTCATTAATGAACCTATATAAGCCAGGGCCTGAGCTCAAGTGGCAGTTGTGCTCCCACTGACAAACTCAAACAAACTACTACACCATTATATTGTAATATTATTAGTAATATTACATGTAATATAAAATATATAATTATAATATTGTATTATTATTAGTAGTAGTAGTATTATATTTCATTACATTATAATAATTATATTATATTATATTATTAGTAAAGCACAGGAGACAAGATGGAACTGTCCTCAACTGTAGTTTCCTGTTTTAAGTGTATTGTGGTGGGAGTGTGAAGAAGAATAATTATTTGTTTGCTTATTTGAATTCTATACTTTCTCTCAAAACTGGGACTCACAATACTTTTTTTAAAAAGATCACAGTCCAGCGACCCTTTGTAGATCTCCTGGGTGCAATAGTTATTTATTGTTATTTATGTGTGGTTGTTTTTCTGTTGCAGAACCTGGCCTGAGTGTACCAAGTGATACCTCCCTCTCTCCAGCAAGCCAGAATTCTCCATATTGCATGACTCCGGTGTCCCAAGGTTCACCAGCAAGTTCAGGGATAGGGAGTCCCATGGCATCTTCTACTATCACTAAAATTCACAGCAAGAGATTCAGAGAGTAAGAACTTTTTAAAGAAGTTATCATATATACTTGAGTATAAGCCGAGGTTTTCATCTCTTTTTTTAGGCTGAAAAGGCCCCCTCGGGTTATACTCGTGTCAAGGTTATTTATTATTTTACTCCGTTATTATTATTTTGTTATTACATTTATTATTTTACACTATTTATTATTATTACAGTTACATTATTTTACTCTGTTATTATTAGCATTACATTTATTATTTTGCTCTATTATTGTTATTACATTTACTATTTTGCTCTATTATTATTACATTTATTATTTTATTCTATTTATTATTACATTCATTTTATTTTATTATTACATTATTTTACTCTATTTATTATTATTTGAAACACAACAAGATGAATCCACAGCAAACAAGATCACTTTGCTGGCTGTTCTATTGGATCACACATCGGACACTTCCCAAGTGTCTAGGGCTGTGTGATGTATCAGAGAATAATGTGTGCAGATCTCAGTAAAGTGGCTTTTTGCAGCTGGCAGATGGTAATTTTGTCAGCGCCAGTTGTGTTTAAGTGCAGGCCAAAGTCTTTAGGCACTGCACCCAGTCTGCCGATCACCACTGGGCCCACCTTGACTGGCTTGTGCCAGAGTCTTTGCAGTTCGATCTATAAATCCTCATATTGTGTCAGCTTTTCCAGTTGTTTCACTTCAATCCTGCGGTCACCTGGGATTTATTATTATTATTATTATTATTATTATTATTATTACATATTTATTTATTTATTTACTGTATTTGTATACCACCTTTCTCAGCCTGTCGGCAACTCAAGGAAGTTTACAACAAGTCAGTACACATAATATCAAAATACAAATTAACACATTAAAACAATATAAAACCACAACAGAAACAATAAAACCAACATCATTAGCGTCTCCTTATTAAAACATTGTCCAATTCCATCATTTAGTCATTCCATTTATTATTATTATTATTATTATTATTATTATTATTATTAATTGCATTAATTATTATTACTCTATTATTATTACATTTATTATTTTGCTCTATGATTATCTTTATTACATTTATTATTTTACTCTATTATTATTGGAAGGATACGTAAGCATATTTACATTGAAGAAGTTTAGAATAATGGTTTCATCAGAGTTGGACAGTCTTTTCTTAAATTACAGTTTATGTAAATACTCAAAAACATTTAACCTACTGATGCTTCAATTAATGTAATTTTTGTGTGAAGGACTACAGATAAGTCAGTTTGATTTGACTTTCTATATTTTACTTTAGAAAATAATCCTTCTGTTTTTGTCCTTTACATTTAAATTTCCTCTAAAATATGAAGGGTTTAGCTTGTTTAGGATTTAAGGGGTGAACACCAACAGGGTCATTTGAGATTGAAAATTGTCACACAGCCTGATAAATGTTTGCTAAGGCACAGAGCATGCCCTTTGTGGCCTGCCACCTTCGACAAAATTATCCTCCTGCAATTTTCCATCGGCATAGAAAGAATTTTATGAAAGAGGAACTAGGGTAGCTTGAAAACGCACCTCAGTTATGGCAAATGATCTAGCAATCAAAGGTTAGCTTGGACGGCAGTTTCTTGTAATCAAATGAGAGGCAATTCCATTTTTCCTTATTCTGATTTCCCTTCTGAATTCACAGATACTGCAATCAGGTTCTAAGCAAAGAGATAGATGAGTGTGTGACACTCCTGTTACAAGAGCTGGTCAGTTTCCAGGAACAAATTTACCAAAAGGACCCCATGAGAGCTAAAGCTAAGAGGAGGCTTGTGATGGGTCTCCGTGAGGTGACGAAGCATATGAAGTTAAGCAAGATCAAGTGTGTCATCATTTCTCCCAACTGTGAGAAAATCCAGTCCAAAGGTATGAATGGAGGAAAAACCTGTTTTTGTATCTTCGTGTGGAAGCTGGGTTACTCTGAGGCTTTATGGCCATGTTCCAGAAGCATTTTCTCCTGATGTTTCACCCACATCTATGGCAGGCATTCTCAGAGGTTGTGAGATCTGTTGGAAACTAGGCAAGTGAGGTTTATATATCTGTGGAATGTCCAGGGTGAGGGAAAGAACTCTTGTCTGTCTGGAATTCCCCTGTTTTTTGAGTGTTGCCCTTTATTTACTATCATGATTTTAGAGTTTTTTTTTAATACTGGTAGCCAGAGTTTGTTCATTTTCATGGTCACTCTTAGCAACTACCATGACACCCGGGACATTCCACAGATATATAAACCCAATTCTCCTAGTTTCCAACAGACCTCATAACCTCTGAGGATGCCTACCATAGATGTGGGAGAAATGTCTGGAATATGGACATATAGCCCAAAAATGTACAGCAACCCAGTCATTTGTCTAGGGTGGGAGAAAGAATCCTTCGGTGTTGGAGGCAGGCGTGAATGTTGCAAAAGGCCACCTTGATTAGCATTGAATGGCCTTGCAGCTTCAATGCCTGGCTGGTTCCTGCCCTTGTTGAGAGGTATTAGCTGGCCTTGGTTGATTAATGTCTGGAATTCCCCTGTTTTTTTTAGTATTGTTCTTTATTTACTTGATTAGCATTTAATGGTCTTGCAGCTTCAAAGTCTTGCTTCTTCCTGCCTTGATGTTTGGGAGTTGTAGTTGCTGGGATTTACAGTTCACCTACAATTAAAACTTGTGTGTCAGTTGCACCCGTTCCTTGGGAAGTCAGACTTGGCCACGGTGGTCCATGCTCTCGTTACATCCATGCTCTCGTTACAATTAAAACTTGTGTGTCAGTTGCACCCGTTCCTTGGGAAGTCAGACTTGGCCACGGTGGTCCATGCTCTCGTTACATCCCAAATAGGTTACTGCAATGCACTCTACATGGAGTTGCCCTTGAAGACTGCTCTGAAGCTCCAACTAGTCCAATGGATGGCAGCCAGGTTGCTTGCCAGAGCAGCATACAGAGCTCATACAACCCCACTGCTACGCCATTTCCACTGGCTGCCAATATGCTACCAAGCACAATTAAAAGTGCTTGCTTCAGTCCTGAATGGTTCTGGCCCACCTTAGCTGTCTGAACGTATCTCCTGCTATGAACCATTACAAAGTCTAAGATCAACGGGAGAGGCCCTGCTCTCGTTGTAACATCCTCATATACGCAACTGACGGAAATGAGAGACAGGGCCTTCTCAGTAGTGGCCCCTCGTCTGTGGAACTCTCTACCCCGTGACGTTAGATTGGCCCCTTCCCTCTTGTCCTTTAGAATAAAACTCAAAACCTGGTTATGGGACCGAGCATTTGAACAATACAGGCAGCCTCAAATAAAATAAAATCATTTATTTCGGTCATTGACCAGCACAGGAAATAGTCACATTTTCGTGTGAATGAAACTCAATTTGTGTGAATGACAATGGACTATGATTTCAAACCTGCGTGACCTTAAACAATGTTTTAGTAATTTTAAAGCATTAATGAATTGTTTTAATTGCTTTTATCATTTATTACTGTCGTTGGCATTGAATGAATGTCTGTTGTGAAGCCACCCAGATTCGCCGTTTGTCTCCAAAAAGGAAGAGAAGAACAGGCAGAGAGACCTTCAGCTTTCTCTGCCAAAGGGGTTCCTAAAACTATCAGAAATATGTGTTTTCTGATGATCTTTGGTGACCTCCCCAGGGTTGCTTCAAGGCATACATGGGCTACAAAAATGGCAAAATGCCCGTAAAACTGCACACTTTCCCCATTGATGCCTAAACAATACCATGCTGTGTGAAGGGGCTTCCAGTTTGTTCTGGATATGTACAATTCAGTCATGCTTCGATTTAAATATTTGAACAGTGACAAGAGAAGAGGTTAATTGATTTAAATATTACTTCGCTAGTTATAAGAGGGTTTTTTTTTTTTTTTGTTCACACTTAATTCTCCCCTGTTGTCTTTCCTGGCCTAAACCAAGGTGGATTAGATGAAGCTCTGTACAACGTCATAGCTATGGCGCGAGAGCAAGAAATCCCTTTCGTCTTTGCGCTCGGACGCAAAGCGCTTGGCCGTTGCGTGAACAAGCTGGTCCCTGTCAGCGTGGTGGGCATCTTCAATTATTCCGGTGCTGAGGTAAGCATGTATAATTCAACTCCGTCTTTCTGGTATAAGTTATTGATATTTCAGCATAATCATAGCACAAATGTGATCTGAGCGTGTGCATTTTAATTAATGACCTTGTTATAGAGCCCCTGGAGACACAATGGGTTAAGCCCTTGTGCCGGCAGGACTGCTGACTGAAAAGTCGGTGGTTCAAATCTGGAGAGCAGAGTGAGCTCCCACCTGTCAGCTCCAGTTTCCCATGCAGGGAACATGAGAGAAGCCTCCCACAGGATAGTAACACATCTGGGCATCTCCTGGGCAATGTCCTTGCAGACGGCCAGTTCTCTCACACCAGAAGCGACTTGCAGTTTCTCAAGTCGCTCCTGACATGACAAAAAAAAAAAGTAGCTCCTGGCACATAAAAAAATTGCCTTGTTCTGCATTGGGACTTATAATAATAATATTTATTTAGTTATTTATTTGGCCAGTCATATGACCATTTCAAAATACAACATGAGTAAGAGACAAGGCAAAAAGGAGAGGACAGCAGCTGACCTTCCTGCTTGCACTTTCATAAAACAGTTTACTCGAGAAGTCTCTTTGAAAGCAAGACATTGTTGACGTTTGGATGAGATCTATACTCAATTTCAAATGAGTATCTTTTCTTATAATTAGAACAGGCATTAGAGTGAGAACCAGGACTGTTTGGATACTGTTAAACTGGCTCTGTTTCTGTTTTGTAAAAACATTATGAGTCATTGTGCTTAATATTTAATGAATTCTTCCCAGTCAGCCAAGAGACTCTTCATTTTATTGTACTTTTGTCATGCAGTGCAGGACACAAATATCTGAAACGTCAAGCCAACCTCCGTAATTGAAATGTAATCAAAAGAAGTTTGTTTCTTTTTAGCACAGATTATGTTAATTTGCACTAGAATTTCATCTGTTCCAAAAATTAAAATGGTTCTTGCTTCCATAAGAACAATTCATGAATTAAAAGCTGTGTTCAGAAATCTCTGGGAGCGCAAAATGGTAATCTCATATTCCCACCATTTATAATACTAGCTATTGGGCACCCAGCTAATTAGTTCCCAGATTCTGGACACAGGTCAAACTGCTGCCATTGCAACTCTTTCCTTCTGAATGGTTGTGTTCAAATCTTTTAGTTGCAGAATGAGAATTTATTTGGTTCATTATATTTATTTAGAGAATTGGCCACAAAGGCACTCAGGGCGGCTGACTAAGTGTTAATTTGCCACAAACGGTGGCTCTTCCTTCATTTCTAACAACCCCTGCTGGGTAGATGCAGGGAACACTGGGGATGTAGAGAATCTGGATTTCAGCAAGGCCTTCAACAGGGTCCCCCATGACCTTCTGGTGAACAAACTAGTCCAATATGGGCTAGGCAAAYCTACGATTAGGTGGATTTGTAATTGGTTAAGTGAACAAACCCAGAGTGTGATTCTCCTCAATGCTTCCTCTTCATCCTGGAAAGAAGTGACGAGTGGAGTGCCATCAGCAGGGTTCCATCCTGGGCCCAGTCCTGTTCAACATYTTTATTAATGACTTAGATGATGGGTTGGAAGGCATGATSATCAAGTTTGCAGATGACACCAAAATGGGAGGGAGAGRCAATACTRCAGAAGAAYGAGCAGAATTCAAAACAATCTTAACGGATTYGAGAYWTGATTGGCCAAAACTAACAAAATGAAGTTCAACAGYAACAAATGCAAGATACTCCACTTAGGCAGAAAAAAKAATGAAATYCAAAMATAGAGAATGGGGGARYATGCCTGGCTCGAKAGCAGTACYTGTGAAAAATATCTCMGAGTCCTCGTGGARAACAAYATAAACATYAGCCAACAATGTCYTGATGRYGCTAAAAAAGCCAGTGGAATTTTTGCCTGCATAAATAGTAGTGTAGTGGTTAGATCCAGGGAAGTCGTGCTCCCCCTCTATTCTGCCTTGGTCAGACCCCACATGGAATCACACTGTGTCCAATTCTGGGCAGCACAATTGAAGGGAGATGTTGGCAAGATGTAAGGAGGGTGGCTAAAATGATCGAGGGTCTGGGGAACAAAACCTATGAGGAGCGGCTTAAAGAACTGGGCATGTTTAGCCTGCAGAAGAGAAAGCTGAGAGGAGACATGATGACGTCCATGTTTTAAGGTGTGATGGGAAGTCATAGGGAGGAGGGAGCAAGCTTTTTTTCTGTTGCCCTGGAGAAAAGGACACAATGGAACAATGGCTTCAAACTACAGGAAAGGAGATTTCACTTGAACATTAGGAAGAACTTCCTGTGAGAGCTGTTCAGCCGTGGAACTCTCTGCTCCGGAGTGTGGTGGAGGCTCCTTCTTTGGAGGCTTTTAAACTGAAGCTGGATGGCCATCTATGGGGGATGCTTTGAATGTGATTTTCCTGGTCCTTGGGAGGGGGTTGGACTGGATGACCTATGAAGTCTCTTCGACCTCTATGATTCTATAGTGTAAGGCAGATAGATAGTCTTTTGAGGCATATTTGCCCAGTGAACGTAGAGTGTGAAGCACGCAACTTTCAAATTGCAGGAAGCAGAGCATTCTCTCAGAATTGTTTTCATCTCAGTGGAATCTTCTCTTGTAGAACCTCTTCAATAAATTGGTTTCACTGACGGAGGAGGCCAGGAAAGCCTACCGTGACATGGTGGCAGCCATGGAACAAGAGCAGGAAGAAGCCTTGAAGAACGTGAAGAAAGTCCCCCACCACATGGGCCACTCCCGGAACCCTTCCGCAGCGAGTGCCATTTCATTTTGCAGTGTTATTTCGGAGCCTATTTCAGAAGTGAATGAGAAAGAATATGGTAAGTGGGGCATCAAAATGACGCTGATTCCACTAGAAGTAGATTGGAAATTCCTTCATTCTCTGCTCTTTTTGATTGTTTTGGTGTTTTTTTAAACTGTAGAATTATTTGCCATTATTCTGTGTTCTAGCATGTTGGATTTTGGAGAATGCTGGGTTTTCTTGTTTAGGAAGGGGTATTTGGAATTCTTAGCCAAAGTGCTGTAATCCCTGGTCCTGCTTAAAGCCCATCATTCTGTAGGTTGTTGCCATGGCATGAAAATTGAGGTAGTACATAGTGTGAAAGGTCATAGATCATTTCCATGTTCAACTCAGCTATAAATATCTCCATTCCTCTAAGTATAAGTGTGTTGGATGCTCATTGTTTATTTAGATTATTCTGTTGGATTTTACAGTATTTTGTATACACATTTGTTCGATGTTGTTTTTGTCGGTGTAAATGCATATGACCATTTGTTGGAGCATTAATAAAATTAATTGATTAGTCCCCTATTCCAGAATACTCCTGTATTATGAAATAGGCCTTAACACAGGAGTAGATAATATCCTGTTCTTGCCAAAAGACATTGCCTGCTCTGTTTATTTGATTTCATGCATTTATATTATACTCTTCATCCAATTAGTGGAGCTCCCGGTGGCGCAATGGATTAAACCCTGTGCCGGCTGAACTGCTGACCGAAAGGTCAGCTGTTCGAATCGGAGGAATGGGTGAGCTCCCATTTGTCAGCTCCAATATCCCATGCGGGGACATGAGAGAAGTCTCCCACAGGATGGTAAAACATGCAGGAATCCCTTGGGCAGCACCCTTGCAGACGGCCAATTCCCACACAACAGAAGTGACTTGCAGTTTCTCAAGTCCCCTCCTATGAACCACCTCGGAGGTTAAGATCATTTGGAGAGGCCCTGCTCTCTGTCCAGCCTTCTTCGCAGACGCAACTGGTGGGAACAAGAGACAGGGCCTTCTCAGTGGTGACCCTTTGGCTATGGGACACCCTACCCAGCGAAATAGGTCAGCCCCCTCCCTCCTGACCTTCAGAAAGCAAGTAAAGAACATGGTTCTGGGACCAAGCCTTTGGAGATTAACTATAGTGCAATAATAGCTACGGAATATGTGCAATGATTTTTGGAACGGACCTGGATTATGACTGTGGATGGTGTGATTTTAATAGTGAATGCAATGTTTTATATGTTTTAATGTGCATTTAGTTTTAAATTTTTACCTTAAATGTATTTTAATTGTTATGTTGTCCAAAGGAAAGGAATAGTTGCCTGTATGTAAAGTCACCTTGAGTTCCCTTCAGAGCATTTATTTATTTTATTTATTTACAACATTTATATGCTGCCCTTCTCACCCTGAAGGGCACTCAGAGCAGCTTACTATACACACACACACACACACACATACACATAATATATTATATTATTAGCATAGTACAATATCAGTATTAAATATTACTATATTGTACTATACCATTATATTGTAATATTATTAGTAATATTACATGTAATATAAATATATAATAATAATATATTATTTATATTATATCATATCATATTATATTATTAGCATAGCACAGAAGACAAGGTGGAACTGTCCCTGCCCCCCCCCCCCACTCACTCTGGCTCAGAAAGGCAGTTGGTGCTGGGGGGAGGGGTCCCCAAGTGATGACATATACAGGAGACAGGATGGAACTGTCCCCCCCCCCCCCCCCCAATTCACTCCGGCCCAGAGCGGCAGTTGGTGCTGGAGGGAGGGGTCCCCAACTGATGGCATATGCAGGAGACAAGATGGAACTGACCCCTAGCCCCCTCTCTAGTAGAGAAAGTAGAGTAGAGAAAGGTGGGATATAAATAGAATAAATAAATAATAAGTTGACACGAAAAAACCCAGTTAGTTGTATGGGTGGTTCACATTTAGAAAAATAACAATAAAGACAATGCAAGATAGATTAATAGATCAGAATTCACTTTAGTGTGATTAAAATGGCTGCAGTAGCAGTCCTTGGAGCTGCATCCTGCAACTATATGCTTGTCATTATGGTTTGGAACAACACCCATTTTTAAGTAACTATATTTATATAACCTTTTTTTTAAAAAAAAAAGCTATTTATCATATTCTGTTTATAAACCCTTCTCAAACTTTTATGCATTTTTCTCTCCAGAAACAAATTGGAGGAGTATGGTGGAAACCTCTGATGGACTTGAAGCCTCTGAAAATGAGCGAGAAGCCTCTTGCAAGAGTGCTGTTCCAGAAAAGCCTGGCAACAGTAATAAGGTTATTGTTAATAAGGAGCTCTCGATAGCTGCTGTTGGGGTTGTCACCGTCTCTGCTCAAGGGAAAGCACCGAGCGGGAAAGAGGAAGTGAAGCCGGATGACAACCTGGAATGGGCCTCACAGCAAAGTACGGATACAGGATCGCTGGATGGCAGTTGCAGGGATATTTTGAACTCCTCCATGACAAGTACGACCAGCACCTTGGTTCCGGGAATGCTTGAAGAGGAAGATGACGAAGAGGATGAGGACGAGGACGACTACACCCACGAACCCATATCTGAAGAGGTTCAGCTCAACAGCAGAATTGAATCTTGGGTCTCGGAGACACAACGGACTATGGAAACGCTTCAGCTTGGGAAGAGCCTTAGTGCCGGAGAGGATGAGAACGCTGAGCAGAGTGAGGACGAAGAACTAGAAACTCCTGAGCAAGTCGAGTCAGTCGTTGAGAGTGAGGAATGGACAGCAGAGAAGCATTCAAGTAAAGCCCAGCAGAAGCCTGCTGTGAGCACTTCCTTGGATACGACGCCTATGGACTCAAATTATATACCATAAACTCAAGCACAAACTCAGGAAACTTTAATATTTTAAAACTAACTGTCGTAAGGATTGCAGCCATTGCTTTGTGTGCTTCATCTCAGCATTTTGCACTGTGTAACATTTAATATGCGTATTTAATTCACTACATAAATATTTTTTTGTAGCCGTCTTTATTACTCTTTCCATTAAGAACTAGGAGTGTGTGCATGTGTGTGTAATGAATATATTTATATCTTTCCTGGACATGATGATAAGCTGTTAATAGGCCTCATTTTGTACAAGAATACTCTTTGCAAATGACCATTTTTATTGGAAAATTATTCTCAAAACAATAATTTCAGAATTCTTCTGCTGGAGTGACCAAGCCTTGCTTTGTCCTTTTCTTACAGGGTGATAGTGTCCCAGAGATTGAGCCAGAATGGATCTTTTTAATGGGCTTTAACAAGATTTGGAATCCTTACTGACTAAAAGGGTTAGGAAGATATGCATTAACCATTCATTTTAACTTCCAGGACCGCTTATTGGTCTCTGGAGATGTGTGTTTCAGAAATACACTCATGAGATGCTGGCTGTGATCCGCTGAAATCCTTTGGCAAGGCACTTTGGGAAAGAGAAATTGGTTCCTTTCCAATGAACTACTTAAACATTGGGGCCCATTAACCATAGCAACTTTTCATTGTTTTGGTTTCCTTAACCAATGTTTTCCAGTTCTCTGACTATTCCTTAGATTTTTTTTCCACTTTATCTCAGGATGGCTAATATGAGTGATTAAATGTTATGTAAATGCAGAAAGGATAAGAATCAGATATTGATAAAGCAGTAGTGAAATGGACACAGGGGTCTTTTAAGGGAGGGATGAAGGTGTGAGGGTCATGTATTAGCACATAGCATCACTTCTTTTGAGTTGGAATGTGTCAGAAAATCTGGTCCTCGTTGAGAATGGGATCCCCTATGTTCTGCATCCGTTTGCAGTGTCTCAGTAAGGTGAAAGAATCCATTGATTTAGTGGGGAAATTCAGATTGCTTTCGTTTTAATATCTTAAGTGAAATACTTTTTGTAATTTTTGTATGTCTAGAGTCTGAATTTTCCTCTTTTGCCCATTGCGGAATTATCAGATAAGCTGCGTGAAAAAAAATACCCATCCAGTGACCAGTGTAGGAGAATTCATTGGCAGTACAAAAGGACAAGTTTTTGACAGCATAGACTTTCCAGTGATATCATTGTGAGTTGTTCACTTAATTATTTGGGACCAATCGCTTTAGCATGTTCGGAATTTGCTTTTTATATTGTACAGACAAAAATATGGTTCAGTGTCTTTAAGAGTCTAACATTGTTACCTGCTAATATGCATATTAGTCGGTAACAATGCAGGCAGTGGTTCTCAACCTGTGGGTCCCCAGGTGCTTTGGCCTACAACTCCCAGAAATCCTAGCCTGTTTACCAACTGTTAGGATTTCTGGGAGTTGAAGGGCAAAACATCTGGGGACCCACAGGTTGAGAACCATTGTGCTAAGGAATGTAGCAGAAAAACCAAGTTTGAGTGTATTGTCGAAGGCTTTCGTGGCCAAAATCACTGGGTTGTTGTGACTTTTTTGGGATGTCTGGCAATGTTCCAGAAGCATTCTCTCCTGACATTTGCCTGCATCTATGGCAGGCATCCTCAGTTGTGTGGTCTCACAACCTCTGAGGATGCCTGCCATAGATGCAGGCGAAACGTCAGGAGATAATGCTTCTGGAACATGGCCAGACAGCCCAGAAAACTCACAACAACCCAAGTTTGAGTATTTATGTAAGTAGCTTTTGGGAATATGGATGATGTTAAGAAGATAAGTTTTTGAAGTTTTGTTAGGATACCTGTTCTCCCTTTTAAAAAGGATATTCGATATTCAGAAAATGGCATTTATTTCCCCACCTTGTTTTCAGTGCTAGCAAGTCACATCATTCTTAATTAGGTACTTTAAAAAATCCCCTTCATTTGTATTTGACCCGTTTCCATTTTTAATAATGTGTATAAGTACATCAAATTTTCCATTGCTTCTACTTCCTGCTTTCTTACCAAAGGTCAACTTTCCTGTTGACAAGCTGCAGCCACTCTTCTCAGGGCAAATAGAACATTATTAGTGAAGGAAGGCTTGCTTTGTAAAATGTTCATTATGGTAAGTGACAGCGGAGGACTAGATGAGAATCAAATGTTGTCCTTAATGTCTTTGAAGTTGGTTCTGAATTGAAGAGAGGTTGTTCTGGTGCAGTGCAATGAGATGCTTGATTCTGTCATCTTCTGAAGTAAGCATTCGTGTTCTTGTTCCTTTTTGTAATTCCATGACAGTTCTTGAGGTTTTAGTACAGTGGTTCCCAACCTGTGGATCCCCAGATGTTTTGGCCTTCAATTCCCAGAAATCCTAAACAGTCTGGGATTTCTGGGAGTTGTAGGCCAAAACATTTGGGGACCCACAGGTTGAGAACCACTGTTTTAGTAGCACCTTTGTTTAGAAAGTAGATTCTCAGACACCAAAAAAAAACCCTGTTCTGTTACTATACATAGGTGGAGATTTTGGACAAGTTCAGGATAATATTTGCTTTTTCGAAAACCCATTTAATGAGTTTTACTGTTCATTGGCAGAAGATGCTGGTTGCAAGGGATGAAGTGTACAGTGAGATTAGAAAATCCTTGACTTGGTTGAGGTGATTTGTGTAAGGAAAGTTTAAGACTCTCCAGTATTTGTATAACAATAGCTAGCTGTGGCAAATGGGAACACAAAGTAAACCAATGCACTTAAATTAAACTAGAGTCTGGGGTTGGTAGGTTGCTAAGACAATATTTAATTCTAGATGTGTGTAAGGTAGCCAATAAAGCCTATCAGTATCATCCTATCCTCCCAGCCCTGGTTTACATTTCGAATGGCATCTCTTTTCAGAGTTAAATAGTATTTGATTCCCTGATTTTAAAGTGTAAGGCATGACTCTTTCGATTAATGCACTTGTGGGAATTGTGGGCAAAACGCTGGGACATGTTCTTTGGGTGGGTGGATGTACACGGGGTGCTTTGAGTCTCTTTCTTCAACCGAAAACTTACATTTTAATAGCACAGAGGCAAAGAGTCCTGTATGGGAAAGCTTCTGTTTACTGAAATGGTCATAGAATTTGTGTGTGTATGAAATTGTGCCAACTAATCAAGATTTTCAGTCCGTTTACCAGAATTTTATCCTCTAATTCAACATTGAGCCTTTTTTATATAAAGTAACAAAGCCATAAATGGAAATTGTACAGCTTTATGCCCGGTCTTATCTTGCAGAAACAAGAAAAGGTCTAATGCGATTGCAAACAATTAACTGTTCAAAACTGATCAAAATAGCTGGCACAGCCCAATTAATGTTCATATGTGATTAATGTATTTTAGAGGCTATAATAAAGTAATGCCTGTTCATCTTTGATACCTGTACACCAGTAATCACAAAACTTAGGTTTGAAATAGAAAATCATTTATGAAATTATTTCATGAACAAGTTTTGTCTGTGTTCTCCTTTGATGAAGGATAATTCTGTCTACCATCCTTTTCTGGGGGAAATAATAACTGCTTTTTGCACTATGTAAATACTAGTGGGGGTTCTTCCATAATGAATAAAAATGATTATAAAAAAAAAAGTCATGTGATGATACACCAAGCTGTTTGTGCATTCCTATTCTTTGTTAAAAGCATAATGCTTACACTGCCCTCATTGTGAAGGAGGATTGGTTTTTAAATCTGTATATTCAGTGTGGTAGCTAAAATGTGCAGAGTACCATTGAACCAGACATAGCATGAAGGAACAGTAGAGTCTCCCTTATCCAACATAAGCGGGCCGGCAGAACACTGGATAAGCAACGGTGAGGTGGATCAGTAATTAGTTAAATGGACAAACCCAGAGGGTGCTCATCAGTGCTTCCTCTTCATCCTGGAAAGAAGTGACAAGTGGAGTGCCGCAGGGTTCCGTCCTGGGCCCGGTCCTGTTCAACATCTTTATTAATGACTTAGATGAAGGGCTAGAAGGCATGATCATCAAGTTTGCAGACGACACCTAATTGGGAGGGATAGCCAATACTCCAGAGGACAGGAGCAGAATTCAAAACGATCTTGACAGATTAGAGAGATGGGCCAAAACTAACAAAATGAAGTTCAACAGTGACAAATGCAAGATACTCCACTTAGGCAGAAAAAAACGAAATGCAAAGATACAGAATGGGGGACAATGCCTGGCTCGAGAGCAGTACGTGTGAAAAAGATCTTGGAGTCCTTGTGGACAACAAGTTAAACATGAGCCAACAATGTGATGTGGCGGCAAAAAAAAGCCAATGGGATTTTGGCCTGCATCAATAGGAGCATAGTGTCTAGATCTAGGGAAGTAATGCTACCCCTCTATTCTGCTCTGGTTAGACCACACCTGGAATATTGTGTCCAATTCTGGGCACCACAATTCAAAAGAGATATTGACAAGCTGGAATGTGTCCAGAGGAGGGCGACTAAAATGATCAAGGGTCTGGAGAACAAGCCCTATGAAGAGCGGCTTAAGGAGCTGGGCATGTTTAGCCTGAAGAAGAGAAGGCTGAGAGGAGATATGATAGCCATGTATAAATATGTGAGAGGAAGCCACAGGGAGGAGGGAGCAAGCTTGTTTTCTGCTGCCCTGGAGACTAGGACGCGGAACAATGGCTTCAAACTACAAGAAAGGAGATTCCATCTGAACATTAGGAAGAACTTCCTGACTGTGAGAGCCGTTCAGCAGTGGAACTCTCTGCCCCAGAGTGTGGTGGAGGCTCCTCCTTTGGACACTTTTAAACAGAGGCTGGATGGCCATCTCTCAGGGGTATTTTGAATGCAATATTCCTGCTTCTTGGCAGGGGGTTGGACTGGATGGCCCATGAGGTCTCTTCCAACTCTATGATTCTATGATTCTATAAATGTTGGATAATAAGGAGGGATTAAGGAGAAGCCTTTTTAACATCAAATTACATTATGATTTTACAAATGAAGTAACAAAACATCATGTTTTACAACAAATTGAAAGAAAAATAAGTTCAGTTCATGATAACGTTCTGTACTATGGGCTGTGTTGGATAATACTGAACGTTGGATGAGCAAAGGTTGGATAAGCAAGACTCTACTGTATCTTGAAAATACTTGGGTATGCTATTGAGGTTTGCATATGAGCAAGATCAATACATACTGTTGGGGAATCTGAACTGCTAAGCTCAAAAATAAACTTCAGTTGGGGTGATTCCACCATAAATATACTGTTGGGGAATCTGAACTGCTAAGCTCAAAAATAACCCTCAGTTGGGGTGATTCCACCATAAATATAGCAAACTTCATAACCAGCAGAAATTTACATGTGATGAGCTGGGATAAGCATCTATTTCTTGGCCACCAGCACATCTGAGGCTTTTTCTATAATAAAGAAGGCAGGAGAGCCTTCCAACATGGAGATCTCATCCCCAGGAAAAAGGGCGGTCTCTAGACCAAAAGGATACTTTAAATAACTGCAAAAGGCTTGCAGGCTGGCTTTCAGCCTCTGTTACTGTTTAATTAATTTATTATTATTTATTTATTTACAGTTTTTATATCCGCCCTTCTCACCCCGCAGGGGACTCAGGGCGGATTACAGTGTACACATATATGGCAAACATTCAATGCCAATTTTTGACATACAAACATATACAGACATACACAGAGGCTATTTAACTTTTTCTGGCTGCCAGGGGAGCTGTTGCTTTCATCGTCCATCTGCGACACTGATGAAGCACTTCCACACTCCCCGCATGCTTCCCCGCTGGAATGCTTTGCTGGAGTCTTCATTATGGCCTCATAAATTAGTTAATTTAGCCTCCCCACACTTTAAGGTGGTACCTAATTTTCCTACTTGACAGATGCAACTGTCTTTCGGGTTGCAAAGGTCGACAACAGGCTACATAATTGGTTGGAAACCCACTCCATGGCTTCGAACTCATGACCTTTTGGTCAGAGTGATCTTAATGCAGTTGACACTCAACCAGCTGCGCCTCAATCCCGGTTTAACTTTCAGGGTGCTGCTAAGACTGTAGCAACCCTGGGGGGAAATGCAAAGAGATGCTATCTCATGCAACTAAGGGGCAATGCAAACCAAGCTCCTGGAAGACGGAACAGTTACTATAAGTCAGAAACGGTTTGAAGGCAACAGCAGTTCTCTTCTATCTTGCTGCTTCATGTGCTGGAGCTTTTAAGCATCAGCTCCAGCTCCCTTAGACTTTGGGTTGTTGTAGGTTTTTCCGGGCTATATGGCCATGTTCTGGAGGCAATTTTTCTCCTGACGTTTCGCCTGCATCTATGGCAAGCATCCTCAGAGACCTCATTACCTCTGAGGATGCTTGCCATAGATGCAGGCGAAACGTCAGGAGAAAAATTGCCTCCAGAACATGGCCATATAGCCCGGAAAAACCTACAACAACCCATGGATTCCAGCCATGAAAGCCTTCGACAATCCCTTAGACTTTGTTTAGCCCATTGAATAGATGCTTCTCCTTTGAACTTCTCTTCCCCATCCTGAGCAAAAATAAGAAGCAAAATCGTGGCAACTCTACAGATGTTGTTTCCTACTTAGGGCTTTATGATCTGTCAGAAGATGATCAATGTTCCAGTAGAATTGGGGAATAATGGAGCGAGAAGGGGGAGATAAATAAGCAAAGGAAGCAGCGCATGAATAGGCATGAGGCATGAAAGAGGTGGTCTCCGAGGAAAGGGGCAAGAGAGGGCAGTTCTACACTGCGATGCGCAAAGATTGAGTTCAAATTACCAGCTAATTGGGGGGCAGGAGGTCTCTTGGTGCAATGAATACTGCTTTTTAGTTATGGAAAAAAGTTGTGGTCAAGGAGCAAACTTAAAAGCTCCTGAAAAGCAGCAGCTGATCCTGTGGCTGGACTACATCCTCCTCTCTTCTTAGCACGTGTCAGGCTGTGTACGACTGCTTCCCTTTGAAACTGCATATGTATACAAGAGCGAGAGGCTTCCACAAGTTAATGCATTTTGTATGAGCAGGCTTCTAACGTGAGTCTGGCCTTCTGCATTGAGCGGAGAGCGGCCCTGGTGTCGGCACATGCCTCTCGGTTCCCTTTCCACCCCTCACTCACAAGGCAGCGAATGTGACTGCAGTCTGTCTCACCCACACACTGAGAATTAGCATGAGGAAGGGCACGTGATGGGAAGCATCCACTGCAGTTGAGAGCTCTCCTAAGGAAGAGGTCAATAAAACCGATTGTTGCTCTGCTGCTCGTTTCCTTGTTGGGTGGGAAGTTGGAAAGGATTTTGAAATCCTCCTGTTTTGTTTTGGGTGCTTCTCCAATACCCCCCAGCCTTTTAGAGAAGAGAAGTGTATTCCCTCTTTTTAGGCAAGCAAGATGCAATCTGAAGTTATTCGGTATTTTCAGAAAGCTGTTTATTTGCAAGGGCTTCATAGAATTATAGAATCATAGAGTTGGAAGACACCTCATGGGCCATCCAGTCCAACCCCATTCTGCCAAGAAGCAGGAAAACTGCATTCAACGCACACCCGACAGATAGCCATCCAGACTCTGAGGATGCTTGCCATAGATGCAGGCGAAACGTCAGGAGAGAATGCCTCTAGACCAGGGGTCTTCAAACTTTTTAAGCAGAGGGCCAGGTCACAGTCCCTCAAACTGCTGGAGGGCCGTATTATAATTTGAAAAAAATATATGAATGAATTCCTATGCACATTGCACATATCTTATTTGTAGTCCCAAAAAGAAACCCCACTTAAAACAATACAATAATTCAAATGAAGAACAATTTTAACAAATATAAACTTATTACTATTTCAATGGGAAGTGTGGGCCTGCTTTTGGCTGATGAGATAGAATTGTTGTTGTTGTTGTTGTTGTTGTGTGCTTTCAAGCCATTTCAGACATAGGTTGACCCTGAGCGAGGGCCGGGTAAATGACCTTGGAGGGCCATATCTGGCCCCCGGGCCTTAGTTTGAAGACCCCTGCTCTAGACCATGGTCATACAGCCCGAAAAAACCTACAACAATCCAGTGATTCCGGCCATGAAAGCCTTCGACAATACATCCAGCCTCTGTTTAAAAGCTTCCAAAGAAGGGGCCTCCACCACACTCCGGGGCAGAGAGTTCCACTGCTGAAGAGCTCTCACAGTCAGGAAGTTCTTCCTCATGTTCAGATGGAATCTCCTTTCTTGTAGTTTGAAGCCATTGTTCCGCGTCCTAGTCTCCAAGGAGCAGAAAACAAGCTTGCTCCCTCCTCCCTGTGACTTCCTCTCACATATTTATACATGGCTATCATGTCTCCTCTCAGCCTTCTCTTCTTCAGGCTAAACATGCCCAGCTCTTTAAGCTGCTCCTCATAGGGCTTGTTCTCCAGACCCTTGATCATTTTAGTCACCCTCCTCTGGACACATTCCAGCTTGTCAATATCTCTCTTCAATTGTGGTGCCCAGAATTGGACACAATATTCCAGGTGTGGTCTAACCAAGGCGGAATAGAGCACGGGGAGCATGACTTCCCTAGATCTAGATACTATGCTCCTATTGATGCAGGCCAAAATCCCATTGGCTTTTTTTTGCCGCCACATCACATTGTTGGCTCATGTTTAACTTGCTGTCCGGGAGGACTCCAAGGTCTTT